GACAAACTCCTCCGGAGCAGCTTCCAGTTTATTGGCCCGGCGGCCCGCGGCCGTCCCCCGGCGGCCCCTCTCCGTCCAGCAGCCGCCTCAGCCAGCGGTCGGCGGGGCTCTCGGGCCGCAGGAAGCACCAGCTGACCAGCAGGAGCACGGACAGGCCGAAGGGCAGCACCTTCCACCAGGGCCGCTGCTGCTGCCCGCCCAGGGACTGCCGCACCGTCCACTGCGCCGGGCTGGCCCGGCTGGACGAGAAGGCCACGGGGCGGCCGCCGTCCGCTCCGTCCTCCTCCCGGCTGCCGCGCGGCGAGTGCAAGCTTCGGGCCAGCCTCAGCGCCCGCACGGCCCTGCAAGAGACACGCGTGAGCGCCGGCGCCGCGTGGGCAGCACTCCCGTCCACAGAGACACGCGTGGGCAGCCCTCCCGCCCAGAGACACCGTGGACAGCCCTCCCGCCCCACAGAGACACGCGTGGACAGCACTCCCGCCCAGAGACACCGTGGACAGCCCTCCCGCCCACAGAGACACGCGTGGGCAGCCCTCCCGCCCAGAGACACCGTGGACAGCCCTCCCGCCCCACAGAGACACGCGTGGACAGCACTCCCGGCCCACAGAGACACGCGTGGACAGCCCTCCCGGCCCCGCAACGTACCCGAGCGTAGGTGCCCCTAGCACTCGACCCATCGCGACCGCGGCGCCCCGAGCTACATCACTTCCGTCGCACGAAACCCGGAAGCTGGGTGCCTCCGCTACAGAACGTGTAGTCTATAGGCGCGACGGAAATGATGCGCTCTTTCCGCCTCGGGCCTGGTTCCTGCGCACCATGAGGGTTGCCGGGAAGTGTAGTTCGCCATGCTGCCCGAGTGGCCCCAGCTACTCTGCTCAGCTGGCTGGGAGGACCGCGCCCCGTCCACTCCTCCCTCCCTTCCCTTCCCTGAGCAAGAAGCGTCTATTTGGATGTTAAAAAAAAAAAAAAGGAAACAAATTGATGGTCCCAGCACGGTAGCCTAACGGCTAAAGTCCGCACCTTGAACACGCCAGGATCCCATATGGGCGCCGGTTCTAATCCCAGCAGCTCCACTTCCCATCCAGCTCCCTGCCTGTGGCCTGGGAAAGCAGTCGAGGACGGCCCAAAGCCTTAGGACTATGCACCTACGTGGGAGATCTGGAGGAAGTTCCTGGCTCCTGGCTTTGGATCGGTACAGCACCGGCTGTTGAGGTCACTTGGGGAGTGAATCGTCAGATGGAAGATCTTCCTCTGTCTCGCCTCCTCTCTGACTTTGCAATATAAATAAATAAATAAATAAATCTTAAAAAAAATAGAAAACTGAGGCCTGGTACTGGTGCTGTGGCGTGGAAGGTAGGGGCTTGCCTGTAGTGCCAGTACTGGTCCTGTCCCATGCTCTGCTGTTTTCTCAGGCACATCAGCAGAGAACTGGATAAGAAGTGGAACAGCAGGGACTCGAACCGGTGCCATGTGGCATGCTGGCTGTCATGAGCAACGGCTCAGCACCCTGAGCCCTGGTGCTGGCAGTACACTGTTCATTTCTTTTTACCCCACTTTCCCACAAACTTCTGGAGCAATTTGATTTGGATCATAAAAGAGCCATATAGAGTCCAGTTGGGTCGCAATGGGGCGGTAGGTTAAGTATCTGCATTAGAGTCGTGGCTGTTCCACTTCTGATCCAGCTCCCTACTAACACACCTGAGAAAGCAGTGGGCAGCACCCCTGCTGTCCACATGGGAGAGCCGGCCACCAAGAGGAAGGTAGAGGGGCGGTATTGGACCAGAGCTGCCCGGGCGCGGTCCCCACCTCATCCGTGCCTGCACGCGCGCACACCCGGGGCTGCAGGGGGAGCTGAGTGCCTGCCTTGGCAGACAACTCTCCCCACCTGTGCCTGGCAGGGGCAGCGCCACATCCAGGATGTGTCCGCCCCGCCCCGGGCCATCAGGGCAGGAACTGCAGCCGGGGTGGGGGATGAGGTCGGCCCAGAGCCTGTTGGGAGTGCTATGTCAACAGAAGCACCTGTTTGCTCAGGCCCTTCTCTCGGCTGGCCCACCTGTTCCACCCCAGAACTACTGCCAAACCAACTTGGCCTGTGGGGCCCGAAGAGCACCCCTTGACTGTGTGGGTGGTGGGTGAAGCTGCGCCGGGATCCCTCTGGGATGTGGCAGTGGATGGAGAGCCCTGAGGGCCAGGAATGAGATGCCGGACTCAGGCGACTGGAGCCCCAGCCGTCGAACTATGAGGACTTGACTGGGCAGCCCTCTGCTGATGGAACTCCTGACAGGGAGGCGTTCCTGGATTAGGACGGACACTGGGATCGCTCTGGGATGGGGCCTGCAGGCCAAGGAGCACACAGGAGCGGTGACGCCTGGGGTGCCTGCGCAGGCGCTGGGCATGAGCTCTGCCCCGGGAGGGACGCCCCCTGCTGGAGAGGGTGAATGGAGGGCAGAGACGCCCTCACTGGGAACAGCAACGCAGGCACCCTGGCCTCCCCCTGCACCTGTCTGGCTGCGCCTCCCTCCTCCCAGCCGGGAGCACATCTGAAGGCTCACAGAGAAACTTGACGGGAGCGGAGATGCCCCACTAAGAGGGTGGCACCGGCTGCACCCGTGTGTGCCAAATGCCAACGTTTACAGCAGTGCCACTCGAGAGCTGACATGTTGGAGTTATTGGTTTTTCCCAGGGCAGATCAATGCAAAGTGCATGGAGGCTGGCTGGTGTGCGGCAGGGTGGAGCAGCCAGGGGGGTGTTGGCAGGGACCCTCTGAGGGGTGGGGGCGGGGCTGGAGGCTGAAGCTGGGCTCAGCCACAGCAGCCTGAGCCCTGGTACATCCTAAACAGGAGATGCACCTTCTGCTGTGCCTCTGTTCCCACAGGGCCCAAGCCCCTCTCCCCAACACACACTGCTCCCTTCGCCCTCCCCCAGCTCAGGGTCCCCTTGTCGGTCCTTAATCAAGCTGAGGAAAGCCGCAGTGTCTGGCCGTCTGGGGCCAGGACCTTAGGGCAGCAGGCACCAGTGTCTGTCTCCTGTGGGCCTCCAGTCCCTGGGCATGGTCTTGAGGCTAGTTAAGGCTCTGGGGCCAGCATCTCCCGGCTGTGGTCCCCCGGACCTGAGGTACCCAGGACCCTTCCCTACCCTTGGACACAGCTCTCTCCTTGCTGCTGGGGGACTAAGAGGAGGGCGGCAGGGGCCAGGCGTCAAGCAGAGAGGTGACAGTGGCTGTGGCAGGGGCAGCGCCTCTGGAGACCCCACTGTGGGGGAAGGGCTGGGAGCTGTGTCTAAATGCTGTGTGCAGGGGAGTTGCTGGCTGAGAGGAGCCAGACCACCCTAGGAAAGGCTGCTGCCTGCAGGCTCAGGGTAGGGACCCAGGGCAGGCTGTGAGGGGCCACTCAGTTGGGCGCACTCAACCTGTGTTACGGGGGCTGCTCTAGGCAGCAAAACGGTGAGTGGCGAGGGAGGGGACAGGGTACGTGTGACCCCAGGCATGCATATCTACCTGGAACCTCAGAAGGTGTCCTTATCTGAATGTGGGGCTGGGCAGCTACAACCAGCTGAGCCCAGGTCACGATGGATTAGGTCATCTCAGCTACAAGACGTCCTGGAGACTCTTGTGGGAACAAACAGGGAAGATTGGGAGGGAACCCCCAAAAGGCACCAGCCCTTGGGACACCTCGACTTGTGCGTGGCATCCCCCACCCCACTCCGTCCCCAATTCTCAGTCTTGCTGTTCGTGGCTGTGGCCATTCCAGTCACCCAGGAGCCTCAGGGCAGGCGGCGGGGCCACCAAGTGGGGTCCCGACCCCCACTCAGGAGGCAGCTCTCAGCCGGGCTCAGCAGGGGACCAGGTGGCACTGACGGCCACAATGCCCAGGCTGAGGGTGATCCCAGCCTTCTCCTGCCTTGCTGGTGGTCCCTGGGGCTTCCCCCCTGCTCCACCCCCACCCTCAGGAGTACCGTTTACCCAGGGAGCTAGAGGGGCAGGCTCTCTTGAGAGTGGCTACTCCAGAACTCAAAATAGCATGAAATTTAATTTTCCGCCTATTTGACGGGCTGGACGCAGGCCCCAGCCGACAGTGGAGATAAGGGCCCGGGTGCAGCCAGCTGGACCGGGGCAAACACTCCAGGGTCCCTGGGCAGGCTGCCTACAGGTGGGACCAGGGCCTGGTTGCCAGGCGCTAAAGCAAACGGGCTCTATTTGTCCAGTCTGCGATGACAATGCCGTCGCCAAATATTTGCTAGCCCGGGCGGCTGCAGGGCCTGCCTATAAATGCTTGAGCCCAGGTGCAGGCAGTACTGGGAGAGCAGCAGCCCGGGCAGGTAGGAGCGGGGGGCCACTGGGGATGGCCAGGGAGGGCTGGGTCTCCACCCCCTTGCCTTGCAGCCCCCGGGGCCCCGGTGCACACTGCCCTTCTTCCTGCATGAGGAACTCCCTCAGCTGCTCCCCCCGCCTGTCTGCTTTCCCAGGGCCTCCCCCAGTGGGTGCAGGTCAATAGAATCCTGCTGGACACCGTGTGGGCGGGACCAAGGCTGCGGCCACTCACTCAGCATCCTCCATTGTCCAACTGCCCTCCTGTGTCGGATGTGACCAAGGCTGGAGCAGGGCGGGGGGACAGGCCCCTGCTGTCACTAGGGCTGGCAGAGGCTCCCCAGGCTGGGAAAGGGCAGTACCGTGGCCAGCTTGCCATGGATCTTGTCCCAGCCCCAGGCCCAGAGCCAGGAAGTCACAGCAGCAGCCCCAGCCCAGTAGGGCCCCTACGAACGCCCCCTGGTCGCCTGCAGGCTCTCTCGCTCCTCCCTGAGCCCACCAACCATCGCACTCCAAGCAGTAGGCACCAGCCACCGTGTCTCAGCATGTGGGCACCCTATGTCTATCGGAGTGTCCTCTCCACACCCAGGCCCCGCCTGTCCCTGGGGGTGGGGGGAGGGGACAGGACTGGAACTCCCACCCACCTCTATCTCTCCCCTGCCAGCGCCTGCTGCCCACAGGACAGCGGGAGGAGATGGCTGCCGGCGTGATCCGGCCCCTGGGTGACTTCAGGCTGCCCCTGTTGGCCCACCAGCCCTTCCTGCCCCCTGACCTGGAGCTCCCAGAGACTTCTGAGGAAGAAGAGGAGGAAGGCGAGGAAGAGGAGGGCGAGGAAGAGGAGCAGCAGGATGGAGGGTGGACAGGGAGTGGTCCTGGCCCCCAGGTTCCCCTGCAGGGCCCTGGCAGCCCCGAGACGCCACTACGACTGCTGCGCTTCTCCGAGCTCATCAGCGGTGACATCCAGCGGTACTTTGGCCGCAAGGAGGAGGGGCAGGACCCAGACATGTGCGGGGAGCTGGACCGGGCAGAGCTCGAGGGGGCCCCTGGGCCCGGGCAGCCGGAGGGACCGCTGGGTGGGGCGGCGCTGGGGCCGCTGGCTGAGCTCTTTGACTTTGGGCTGCGCCGGTTCTCGTTGGCAGGCGCAGCGGCTGTGGGCCGCAGGCTGAGGCTGGAGCGCAAGTACGGCCACATCACCCCCATGACCCAGAGGAAGCTGCCCCCATCCTTCTGGAGGGAGCCAGCACCCAGCGCCCTGGGCCTGCTGCACCCCGGCACCCCGGACTTCAGTGACCTGTTGGCCAGCTGGTCAGCAGAGGCCGGCCCCGAGCTGACGGGCGCCCAAGCCCTGGAGGGGGCTCAGCTGACAGAGGCCTAGCAAGAAGGCACACAGGCCTTCCCCCAGGCCCTCCGAAGAAGACCAAGGTGGAGCCGGCTGGGAGGGAGCTGCCAGTAAAGGGTGGGGCCGGGGACATGGTCCCCAGACCGGGCTGCTCCTGGCAGAGCCCTTGTTGTTCTCAGTGACTGACACACCAGGCCCCAGGGAGGCCAGGTCAGCAGCAAGGCCATGTCCCTGACCCACCCAGGCGGCGAAGACCAGCTGACTCTCTCCCAGAAGCAGCCCGGGCTCCTGCACACGCCCTCCTGGGACCCTGCACATGGTCTTGGTTGGGGCATGGAGGAGGTTCATTTCAGGGCAGGGCTGGGCTTGGACAGAACAGGAAGGGGGGCTCCTGGGACTGGGGCACCCTGGTGCTGGCTGCTGCCTCTGACAGGCTCCTCCACTGCATGTCAGCCATGCCACCCCCAGGAGGGCCACGTCTCCGGGCTGCTGGGGGCTCTGGATGCAACAGTGTAGGAGCTAAGAGCTAGCATTTATTTCTGGGACTGGGGCAAGCGGGTGGGCAGGGCCACAGGCTCCCGGCTGCCACCTTCCTCGGAGCTGCCTCTTGCTGGCCTCCGCTGGGGCACTTGCTTCACGAGGACAGACTTCCACTGCAGCCACCTGCCAGGAGACACGGCCGAGGCACTCGCACGACCCCTGCCCTCTCCCTGGCGCCAGCTCCTACTGCCAGCACCTGCACCCACCTCACGGCCTGGTACACGCCCCACTGGTTCACAGGGGCCGGTTCACTGGGATCCAGGTCCTTGATGAAGAACCGCTGCCTCACCAGGGACATGAGCAGCCGCCTGCTGCCCAGTGTCAGCGCCCAGGGGCCCTCCTCGCTCCACAGGCGCAGCACGCTCTCCCGCAGTGCACTCATCTCCTCTGTGCGCTGCCGGGCCGGGGGAGCCAGGGGAGGCTGTGACCGCAGGCGGTGAGGCACAGCACAGGAGTGGGGGGACCTGGGGGCCCGCTCTGGAGATCTGGGGGCCCACCCAGCTCCACCCTCTCACCAGCTTGGTCTCTGCGTTGAACTTGAGGTTCTGCAAGGTCTTATGGGCCTGGACACTGTCTCCCAGCCTTATTATCTGGCTTTGGAACTGAGCACAGCCAACAACTCAGCCTGGACCAGACTCCAGGGGCTGCTGGGGGCTCCCCGGGCTGGGTGTGGGCAGTACCGTGGCCAGCTTGCCCTGGATCTCGGCAATCTTGCGGCCTGGGTTGTCCTCCTTCAGCAGCTGCATGGATGACAGCAGGGTGGCCAGCTCCTGCCGCATAGCCCCCACCTCCAGCTCTCTGAGGGCCGAGGAGGAGGCAGCAGCTAGAGCAGCTTGGCCCACAGTGGTGGACCGAGCTCCTGCCCGCCTGTCCCGGGCCCTCACCTGGCCCTGACTTCCGCTGAGATCTTCAAGTCCGAGTCATTCTTGTGCAGGCAGCACTTGTCTGAAATATCCTCAATCTGAAACGCGGGGTCCACGGCCATGCAGGCGCAGCCGGCCAGAGCCCAGCGGGGCGCGGGCACTGGGGTGGGGCTGCGGCTTCACCCTCACCCACCTGCAGCGGGAAGCCATCCAACTTCTCCCGCAGCTCCTGCAGCTGCCCGGCGACCTGCTGTTGCCACACGGCCAGGTCCTGCAGGGACTTCCGTCCTGCCCCCTCCCATTCTGTCTGTACCTGGAACACAGACGCTGTGAGGGCTACAGCCTGGCCCAGCAGGGCCAGAGGGCAGGGCCAGGCCCAGACCGGCTACCCTGCAGCCAGACAGCAAGAAAACTGGACCACAGCAGGCCTGGGTGGGGCTGATACATGAAGGACAGGAGGTGGGTTGCCCGGGGTGGTGCTTGGGGACAAGCCGTGTGCTATGCCAAGGATGGCTCAATAAAGTTGCTGGCCAGAGACTAGAGCTGCCCCGACCACCTGCCTCCTTCCTCCACACCTGCCCAGGGCTCACCGCCGCCAGCCTCAGGCCCAGGGTCTGCTCCTGCAGCTCCAGCCGCCAGCCCAGGGCCAGGCAGTGGTCACTCAGGTCCTTGACCTGCAGTCCCAGGTCGGCTGTAGCCTGCTCCAGGGCCTGGCTCTTCACACGGAGCTGACAGAAATAAAGACAGGCAGGAATGCTTAGTCAGGTGCCACCGTCGTGAGAGTGGTGGTGCGGTGGTCCCGGCCGGCACCCTCACCAGCTCTAGTGCACTCTGAGTCTCCTGCTGCGCACGCTCCCCAGCCAGTCGCACAGCCTGCAAGCCCTCCTTCACATAGGAGGCCAACTCCCCAGCTTGGCTCTCTTCTGCACACGCCTTGGTGTCCCTGGGGTGGCGAGCCAACACCTCAGTGCCAGGGAGGGAGGTGCTTCCCTAGCGGCACCCTGCGAACGCCCCCGTGGCCCAGGAGCACCCACCGGGCTTTCTGTTCTGCCAGGAGGACGCGGTTCAGGGACACCTGGTTCTGCCGCACAAACTTGGTGAGCTGGACCACGGCGGTATCCAGGCCCCGGCACTGTGCCAGCAGGCGGCCCCCTTCCTGCTGCAGCGAGGCGGCCCTGAGCCCCAGGGTCCGCCTGGGCACCCAGCCTGCCTGTGCGCCACTCGCACACAGGGGTTCCATGCGCCTGTGTGGCCCCAGACCCCTCCCGCGCAGGGCGGTCCCAGCGTCCACCTCGCGCTGTGCCTGCGCGCGCTCCTCGTTCAGCTCCTGCAGCTTCTGCCAGCGGCCGTCCAGCTCCTCGCGCAGGCTGTCCTCGGCCTTCAGCCGCGCGCTCTCGGACGCCTTCACCCTCTGCGGAGAGCGACCCCCGGCTGTGTGAGCGCGGGGCATGGCAGCGAGCTGAGCCGCCTGCTTGCCTGAGCGCGGGGCGCAGCGGACTGAGCCGCCTGCTTGCCTGAGCGCGGGGCGCGCAGCGGACTGAGCCGCCAGCCACAGGGCCCCACCTGCTCCAAGGCCTGGAAGTTCCGCTGCAGGAAGCCGCAGAGCTTGGCTTCCCTCTTGAGGAACCGCAGACTCATCTCCTCACCGAGCTTGGTCACCTGCGCCTGACGACGCGCACCACACTGGTGCTCAACCTTGCTGCTGGTGCCAGGCTTCGCCTGCGTACTCTTTTATGTCCCAGTGGGCTCCAGGGCAACTGGCCCTGTTGGCTTCACGCCCCACAGAACCAGGCTGGCCATATTCTGAGCAAGAAGGGGCTACAGTGCCCCAGCCCCCTGGGGGCCCATGCCACCCCTGGGGTGCAGCCGGGTAAGGCTGTGTAAGGAGAAGCAGGTGCTCACGGGAACACAGGTGTGCAGGGTTGGGTCAGGGCGCTGCACACTTCCCTCTGTGCCCAATGCCAAGGGGCCAGGCATCTTCCCACATCCAGAGCTCAGGGCTGGCATGGGTCACAACGGGGCAGGATCCCCTGGAGCAGAGGTTGGGAGCCAGGCAGCCAACCCCGAGGCTCCCAGGGGCACGGCACAGCCTCCTTCTTCTGCTAGTCCAGAGCAGCCACCAGCAACCTTGATTCACAAAAACTGGTGGGCTGTGGTTGGCTGCAGCGAGCCCTCTGGCCTGCTCAGGCAGGGGAGCACCCAAGGGGTGGGATGGGTGGAGCCCCCAGCTGGACACCTCTGCTGGTAGGGCCCACTCCAGGCCGCAGGGAGCCTGCAGGCTTCCGTGTCCTGGTGCCCCCACCCTAGCTGATGGTCACACACCCCTCAAAATGCCACTCGATGAAGGGATCCTGGGGTCCCGGAGCCCGAAACTGATGGTGGGGGGACCCAGGCCCTGTGGCTGTGAGGACACAGGCAGCAGTGGTGGCTGACCCAGCACTGCCCGGCTGCCATCTGTGATCAAAGAAAGCCAAGTTGGCATCACTGGCCACCTGTGGCTGTCGAGATCTGCCTGTAGCTGGGCGTAAGGAGCCAGGCTTGAGGTCTAGGTGGCCATGCTGGACAGCGCAAACCCCAGAGCCAGAGCAGAGGGCGAGGGCAGGGGATGCCTGGGGGAAGGCCCCACCGTGTGGCACCTGTATCCTGGCCGCCTGCTCGTCCACCCTCTGGCCGATGTCTTCCTGGCTCCTGTGCAGACTGGTACAGGCTGCCTCCCGAGCCTGCTCCTCCTGCCTCAGCAGAGTAGTCAGCTTGGCCAGCCTAGGACACGGGCACAGTAGCACTGGGCCAGCTGCTGGAAGGCTGCAGACAGGGGACCTGCCCTGGGAAACCTAGGCTGACCTGGAGGCCAGAAGGTGAGGACTGACCAGATGCCTGGGATGTAATGGAAGGTGGGGAGCCCCCAGCGGGAGGTGGGGTCAGAGGCAGGGAGGGGAGCGGGGGGAGCGGAGGGAGGGAAGGAGGGCAGGGCCAAGCTTTAGTGTCTATCCACCAGAGAGGCCCTGGCAACCTCGGGCTGGGCAGCAGGGGGTTGAGCCCACCTGCCCCGGGCCTCCTGCTCGGCACCCTTCCGCTCCGTGTCCTGCAGTGCCTGCCTCCTCCTGACCTGAGTCAGAGCTTCCCGGACCTCCACCAGCCTGGCACACAGGGGGCTGTTGCTGCACAGGCCCTCACAGGGCTACCTCAGCCACCCCACCCAGGCCTCCGGAAGGCTCCCCAGGCTGGTGTGCAGAAGCGAGAGGTACCTCTTATCCAGGGTCTGCATCTGGTTCTGGGGACCGTGGAGCTGCCGGGAGGGTGTGAGGCTGAGCGGGTCGTCCAGCAGGCTGGGGTACAGCAGCCCTGCCTGGCAGCTCACCCACCTCCAGCATTTCCTTCTCAGGGGCCTGGATCAACAGCTGCAACCGCTTCAGCTCGGAGTCCTGCAGCTGTAGGCGGCCCCGCACCTGCAGCAGCTCCCGCAGCAGGCTCAGTGTGGCATGCTCACAGCGCTCCTTGTGGTCCCGCAGGTATGCCACCTCGGCCTGTAAGGCGGCCACCCTAGCCAGGGGTCACAGTGCCCAGTCGCATCGCGCCAGCTCCAGGGCTGCTGTGACCCTCCTGTGCCCTTGCCCTGTACCCCTGGGGCTCACCGCTGCTCCAGCTGAAGCCAGCACTTGGCAGTGCCCTGCTCAGGCCCCAAGGAGTTGGACACAAGCAGGTGGCTTGAGCCACACTGCTCCGAGATGTCCCCTGGGCTCAAGGGCTGGGGGCTGGCCAGGAGGAGGTCCAGGTCTTCCACAGTGGGGCTGCTCAGCTGAGAGAGGGGCGACGCTTCGGACGAGGGGCTGTCTGCCAGCCCTATGAGGAGGAACTGGGCAGCTCATCCTGGGCCTGGCTCCTGCGGGGCCTTCACCAAGACCAAGGTCGCCCCAGGGCCTGAGGACACACCACCGGGGGGAGAGCCCAAACGCCACCCTCACTAGGTCAGCCCTGGCAGGAGCCCAAGCACAAAAGCCCCATGGGGCTCCTCTCTCCGACTGACCTCGGCTGTGGCCAGGGATGGGATGGGGCTCCTGGCTTACCTGACATGGCGTCCGTCACCAGCTGCCCAACCCCTGTGGTGGCCCGCGGCTGGGTGTTGGGGCTATGGGAGAGGTAGGGGAAGAGGGTGGCCACGTTCCCGGTCTTGGGAGTGGGCTTGGTGAAGGGGTGGGCTCTGTCCTCACATCTCCCCTTACAGAATTCCCTGGGAAGGCCGGCGCAGCTGTCGGCAGCAGGGCTGCTCCAGAGCCTTTCTTCGGCAGAACTCGATGACTTCACGGCCCAACTGCCACTGGGGCCGCAGCCCTAAGGCTGGGAGGGCGGGGCCAGAGGGGCCTCGGTCGGCCAGGTCCTGCAGCCAGCAAGCAGGAGCCCCAAGGGCCAAAGGAGCGCTGACTGAGCCTCTGGGGGAAGTGGCCGTACGGCGACAAGGAAGCAAAGCGGGAGAATCTGCAGTCTGCTTTATTTAACCTGATATATCCAAAATGTTGCCACGGCAACACGCCATCTGTACAAAATGAATGAATGTCAGATTGCACGTGCTGTTTTGGTACTGAATCTGCGAGGCCCCATGGGGTGCTCACACCAGCTCTGTCCAGGCTGGACACGTCCCCCCCTGGCCTGTCCCAGGCTCCCCTGGGCACCTTGCTGCCCCATCACCCAGAAGACCCAGCAGGCCAGCAGAAGAGTCCAGTGGGTGAGGCTGAGGGTGGGGAGGCTGGGGGGACGGAGGGGGCTGCGCGGGCCGAGGGCTTCCTGGGAGGTGGGGAACAGGCAAGGACACAGCGTCTTCTGTCAGCCCCTTCCACACGGCCAGTTGTGTCTACACAGGACCCGTTGTCACCACGTGGGTGAGCGAGTCCCACATTGTAGGAGCAGGGGAAGGAGGTGGCAGTGTCAGTGTGGCTCCCAGGGAGGGCATCTGCACCCCCTTGTGGCAGAATGGGCAGGAAGGGGGACCCTGCAGGCCTCGCCCCAATCTACCCAGACGCGGGGTTGGGCCAGGGTCCCTGGCTAGGGCTGCTGGGTGACACCGGTGTCCACAGGTTCCGAAGCTCAAATGGCGGTGCTGTGCTGGATGAGGGACCCCAGCCCAGAGTGCAGACGGGGGTCCCCGGAGGCCGTCAGCTCCCAAGGGCTCGGGCACAGAGGTGACTGACATAGTAGCGCCCCCCACTGGCTCTTGGGGAACTGTCACAGCGATCCCTGAAGATTTGGAACGAAGGACCAAGTCCGAGGCACAGGGCGGCGGCGCTCACAGCACTTGCCACACTGGGAGCAAGGAGGCTTTGACCCAGGAGCCAGGGACCTCAGGAGGAGGCACAAGGGACCGGGGGTGCTGGTGCCACTGTGGGCAGAGCCAGGGCCTCATGTTTGGGCCAGAGAGAGCTCCTCCAGGCCCCCCTTCCCCAGGCGGTACCTGGCCAGGTCCTTGCGGGTTACCAACCCAACCACCTGTGGGAGTAACACATGGGGTCAATGTGCAGCCGGGACCCCTGCCTGCACTGGGGTGCATAGCATCCAGCCAGCGAAAGGGTTTCCAGCCCTACTGAGCACTGGTCTGGCTCACCTGGTTGCGGTTGTCCACGACCACTAGATGCCGCAGGCCCAGGGCCCGGAACAGCTTGAATACCCGGGGCAGCGATGCCTCCTGCAAGGCAGTAGCAGGGAGGGGTTCAGGCACACTGGCCACCAGCCAGGCAGTTCCACCCCCGCAGCCCCCCGCATCTGTTGTGTGGGAGGTGTACCTGGGGCACGGTGTAGGGCGAGGGGTTCATGAACTCAGAGAGGTCCATAGTGCATTCACGCTCGTCCTGTGACACGTGGATGGACTGGATCGGGGGGAAGCGGGGGTAGGCGTCGCGGAAGTCCTTGAGCCGCAGCCGCCGTGGAGCCAGCCCCACACCGCACCTCTCCACGAACACCTGTGGGCAGCGGTTACGTCAGACCCCCAGGGCTTGGCACCTCCCGCCCGCCCACCTGCCTGGGCAGCCCACCCACCTTGTGTTTCAGGAGGACGATGAGCTGTGAGCGCAGGATCAGGCCCTGGAGCTGGGCAGGCTGCAAGAGAGGCAGGTCAGTGCCGGCACCCGCTTGGCGGCCTCGCTGCGAGCCTTTGTGGCTAAGGACCTGGGATGGGGGTGGGTCCCTCGCTGCACAGAGCACGAAGAGGACCCAAGAGCCAGCGCATGTGTCCAGCAGACAGCAGCCACCTGTGCCCCTGACTGACCTGGACCAGCACCAGGGGCAGGGCCGGACACGCTGACGACTGAGCCCCAGCACGGCAGCCCTGGACAGGCTCGGCCGGGACCCCACAGGGAGCCCCTGGGCCCTTCCTGGCAGGTGGGTGGAACACTCTACCTGGGTGTCGTCAGCGTCCACCACAGGGAAGCCATTGTGATTCGATGTCGTGTCGCTGAGGATGTCCACAATTACGCCCACCTTCTCTCTCCGCCTCAGACAGGTCACTGGGGTGCTCATGACCTCTCTGCCAGAGATGCCCACGGCCTCAGCCCCCTCAGGCAGGAAGCTGCCAGCTGAGGAAACCCGATGACCACAGCCCCGAGCCACGGGCAGGGATGGGGGCCAGGGCAGGCAGTGAGGCAGGCAGGACAGCTGGCCTACCTGGCAGTGAGTGAGTGCGAGGTGACGGGGGCCTCCCAGTGCAGGAAGGGCACACTCTGCAGCTGGATGTGCATGTCGTACAGGCCCTGTATGACAGGACGCGGGCTGCCACAAGCCGCCGGGCGGCCGCTGGGGCCTGCAGTCCCGCCCGCCCTGGCACCAGGCCCACGCACCTCGATGAAGACATCGCCCACGATCTTGGCAGTCATGAGCACCAGCATGATGGGGAAGCCGTAGGTCACGTTGCTCGTGGCCTCCATCATGATCACAGTCAGACTGAGTGTCATCCTCACGATGCCACCTGTGGGGTGGCGGGACGGCCGTGTGGGCCTGGGCCTGCACTGGCCCTGTGCAGGGGCCCTGGGGCCGAGCGCCCACCCACCCCCGCCAGCACGAGCCCCCCAGGCCAGCCCAAGCTGGCACTCACCAAGCTGGGCGGCAGCACCCATGAGCGCATACTTGCCAGGGTCGGCCCAGATCTGAAGGTGACAAGGGAAGCGCTTAGGTGTGGATGTGGCAGCTCACACCCAACCCCAGAGCAGTGCCGCCTCCAGCTCAAGCTTGAAGTACCCCTCAGCACCATCTGCCATGCCAGGTTCCAGAAACAAGCTTGCTGTGCCCCGCTGGTGAGCTGGGCTCTGCTTGGAGGAGCAGGGCTGGTGCCCACGTGGGAAGCAGGTGCCGTCACCAGGCGGACTTGGTGCTGGGCCACAGGAGGAGTGTGAGTCCACGCCCATAGGAAGGACAGGACACGTCATTGCACCATGTGACGCATGGACTGGACAGGGTGAGAGTCCAGAGGCAGAGGGGGGCTGTGTGTGTGTGAGTGCGCTGAGGGTTGGGGCTAACTGGTACAGGTATGCTCTGCGGTTGGTGAGAATGTTCCGGAGCATTCTGGATGGCAGTGCTGTGACTGTGCTCAATGTGCTGAGCTGTTCAGGCTAAAGCCAGAATGCAGCCCACAGCTCAGGGCAGCCCACAGCTCAGGGCAGCCCACAGCTCAGGGCAGCCCACAGCTCAGGGCAGCCCACAGCTCAGGGCAGCCACAGCTCAGGGCAGCCACAGCTCAGGGCAGCCCACAGCTCAGGACAGCCCACAGCTCAGGACAGCTCAGGGCAGCCCACAGCTCAGGGCAGCCACAGCTCAGGGCAGCCCACAGCTCAGGGCAGTGGTGTCTTGGAGGAGCCTGAGGGGCTTGGTCTGGGGCAAGCTTCTGGCTGGGGCCCCTCTCGTGGTTTCTGTTCTCAGCTGAGTAATGAGGTGAGAAAGGAACTCACAAAAGCACCTCAGCCCTGCGGGGGCTGGAGGGACCCCCTTGCCACCAGCTCTGCAAGCTCCGGCTTCCCACTGTTTCCCATTCTTAGGGTGACAATGACCTAAATGGGAAATGCCCCATCTCAAACATTACAAGGGGCCGCGCTGCAGCACAGCGAAGCCTTGTCCTGCACACCAGCAGCACCTACGCGCTGGCCCACGCTCTGGCCACTCCATCTCTGACCTGGGAAAGCAGTGGAGGATGCCCCGGGTGCTTGGGCCCCTGTGTCTGCCGGGGTGACCCAGGCAGTCCTGACTCTGGCCCTGCCTCGCCATGCGTCCAAGTGAAGCTGCAAGGGACATCTCCGTCTCTCTCTGACTTTATATATAACGGGAACGCAGGGAAAGAGGAAGGATGGGGAGTGGTGCTCCTGCCGCGCAGAGCAGTGGACTGCGTGCCCACCGGCCCAGGCGACCCACCGCAGCTCCGGTAAGGTAGGACAGGCAGATGCCGAAGAGCCGGCCCCAGGCAGCCCCGATGAGCAAGGACGGGATGAAGACGCCGGCGGAGACCGTGAGCCCGTACGTCCAGCAGGCCAGGAAGAAGTAGACCAGGGTGAAGAGGCCGAGGGTCACGGGGTTGTAGGAGCCTGCGGGGACAGTGGCTGCTGGGCTCACAGGGACGCAAGCTGCCACCCCCGCACCCAGAGCCGCTGTGGAAAAGGCAGGGGTGCAGGGACTCGGAGGCTGCTCTGTGGACCACCCAGGGGGTCGAGGATGAGGGTCTTCCTGGGCCCAGGGACAAGCCTGGCTCTGCAGGCAGTCTCCTGGCTCTCCCAGATTCCCTACAGACCCGGCGACACGCACAGCCTGTCCCGGTGCCTGAGGAGGGTGGATCCCCACAGGCTCAGGTCAATGAACCCACGGCCCCTGCAGCCCAGTGACTCCGTCCACGTGTCCACAGTGCAGCCGCTGAGCACACACACCTGGCGGGTCGTGGAAGAGGCTCACCACACTCTTCTCTGGGGTGTTGAAGAAGGCTGCGGCCATGGAGTTGTATTCGCCATCTGCACAGAAGAGCTGCGTGGTTGGGAGACAGGAAACATGAGAAGCTGTGCCAGAGGCCGTGAACATGGAACACAGGCCTGGGCAAGCGGCCTGCAGGGCGTGAAGGCAGGCCACACAGCAGGCCTGGCCACAGCCTGAGGCCTGTCCGCCCTGCTGTCCTGGGGCCTGGGTAACAGGGGTCTGGAGCAGGGCTGAGCCAAGGCAGAGGCACCACTCCGGGCTGCCTGAGGACCTGAGGGTGGCTTCCCTGTGTCCTTCCTGGGCTCAGGTTCCAGGAAGGAGAAGGGGTAGTCCAGGGCCCCCACACCACCCCCCAGATGGGCTGAGCTCCCCCGAGGACCCAGAGAGTAGACGCTCTAGCACATTCCGCCTGAGACTTGTAGCCTCAGCAGCCCCAGCTGCAGGAGGGCCTAGCCACAGGCCCTGCACAGCTGACCCAGCACCCGGTCCTGGCCTCCGGGGCCCTCGGGGCTACCTGCAGAGGGTAGGACATGGAGCTGCCTTGCAGGGGCTGGCAATCCCGGGACGAGTATATCAGCACGAAGGCCACCGTGGCGGTGACAGCGGCCACCAGCATGGCCTCAATCACCTGGAGGCAGGGCCGGTGGATGTACCTGTGGCCAAGCAGGGTGGGCGGCCTGAGTGGGCACCAGCACACGGCAACAGGGGACAGACTGGGTGCAAGCTGGGTGGGTGGCCCGAGTGGGAACCAGCACACGGCAATGGGGGACAGTGGCCAAGGCCGTGAATGCTCAACAGCCAGCCTGCCAGACCCCCGAGCAGTCCAGCAGTACCCTTGAGGTGATCACATGTTCCTTGCCCCTCAGCTACTGAAACAGCTTCTACCATCCCAGGTCCTGGGATCCCCTGCAGCGCCAGGCACGAGCAGCTGCCCTGGGTCCGTCCTGCATGCCCGAGGACCGTCCCGCAGGCTGGGTGTGCCCTTGCCTAGGCCCCCTGCCCTCCAGGCCCTCCCCCGTGCCTGTGCAGGGTTCCAGCAGAGGGCCTGTGTGCTCACACCCCTCACACCGCACACAAATGAGGTAGTGTTTTTCTTACCTGATGCGAAACATCGTCAGCCAGTAATTCAGGGCGTTGAACACAGCTCCGAGAATCCCACCTGCAGTCACAGAGGCCATGGTCAGGGGCCCGAGTGAGGGGGACGCCTGGGAGGGGCTCCCGGAGACCTCTCCCCGCTCAGAGCCACCCTCAGCCTTCCTTCACAGGCGGGCATCACTACCCCAAGTCCCCAGGCCCATACGGCTCCAAGGAAGGCAGCAGACAGGCGTGCCGACACCCCCCAAGATCAGGTGCGGGAGAAACACACAAGTCTGTGTTTATACTTGGGGTCCGCATCTGTGCTGAGCACCTCCGACGGGTGAGACTCAGGCACTCCAGGGCCCAAGGAGTCCTGTGGGAGTGACCCGGTAGCCAGGCCCTCCCCGCAGGCCAGCTGCTGCCCGGGGGAGAGCCCAGTCCTGGGGGGCCTTACCCACGACGCCCATGGCGATGAAGACAGGAATCTCATGGATGGTGTATGCCATTTTCTGTGGGGGGAGGGAGTGGTGACGGTGGAAGGGCCCGAGCACCATGTCCCACAGGTGTCCCCATGCGCTCATGAAGACGGTGGTAGCGCCCCTCACCCAAGTCAGCCTCCCCCGACACCACGGACCGCAGCACACGGCCACAACCTGCCCACATCCCCAAGGTTCGACTGCGTGAGGGACTCTCAGACGGCGCCCTTTGTGACCCCCACTGGAGACAGCCCACCTTCCCGTTGGGGTGGCAGCGAGGGGCCCACCTCTGAGTCAAACCTCCCGAAGTTAATGAGGCCTGGGCTGGACAGGTCCCACACGTTCCCGTGGTAGATGCTCAGGACGAAGTTCAGGGTGAAGGTGGAGATCATGGAGGCGAAGAACTGTGGGGCGGGGACGGTGTCTCAGCCTCACCCTGAGCGCTGGGGTGGGACGGGACCCAGCGCCCGCGGGGTGGGGCCTGGTACTCACGATCCTCCAGGTCAGGAACTGGTTCCAGAAGGAGGCGCCTTCCTCCAGGCTGAACAGGACCCCCCCTGGGGGGGCAGTACCGGCCTCAGCACCGTGAGGCCTCAGGGTGCCCACCCCCACTCCCACCCACAGGCAGCAAGGCCCTCACTCACCCACGGGGGCTCCAAAGGCGGCAGACACCCCGGCTGCAGCACCAGCCGAGACAAAGTCCCTCTTCTCTGTGTCTCTGCGGAAGTACTCAAAGATCTGAAAGGGACGGGGAGAGGGCAGTGGTGGGCTGAGGACCCTGGGGGCCACTGGCCACGGCACAGAGGACTCGTGCTCAGCCGCCTGACAGAGGCCTGAAGCAAGCCCCATGCTGACCCCCGGCCAGACCTCGCCTGTAATCCCGGGGGAGCCCCGGCCCCGCAGCGCTGCTTTTGTGGGAAGTGTGGCAGGGCCCTTCCCAGGGACAGCGCCAAAGCTCAGCACCCGGGCAGCACTGGCGGGCACTGTCAAGCAACCACACACAGCATGTCCACACTCCCCTCTCAGCCTCACGGAGGAGTCCTGCGTCTTCCCGGGAGGCCCCGACGTGGCGCCACGCGGCCAGGGCTGAGGACAGGATGGCAAGAGGGGCCCACAGCGCAGCGCTCACCTTGAAGTCTCGCTTCAGCGACGTGGACCGTCCCTGGGAAATGCCCGCGGCGATGACTGAGCCCGAGTGGATCATTGGCCCTTCCTGGGGGTACAGGGACCGGCCCTCAGACAACACGGCCCTTCCTGGGGGCACAGGGACCGGCCCTCGGACAACATGGCCCTTCCTGGGGGCACAGGGACTGGCCCTCGGACAACACGGCTGGCGTGGCCTCCCTCCCAGGACCCTGGCTGGACAGCAGTGCACTCACCTTTCCCACGGCCAGCCCGCCCACCACGGACAGGATCACACCAGACACCTTGATGACCAGCGTCTGCAAGGTAAAGGAGGCCCCAGGTGTGGTGGGGGCAGATGCCCAGGGCGCACACAGCACGGCCCATCACACATGGTAGCCCATGTCCAGGGCTCTGCGGGTCCTGTGGGGGTATGTGTCCCTGTGCCCCGCACCATGCCATGTGACCACAGAGTGAAGCCAGGCCTGGCAGGCAAGGGCAGGGGAGGTGAGTGGGGAGGGTGTCCCACCAGGCCTACTTCTCACTGTCCCCTGCACCTGCTGACCCTCTCACTGCCCTCCACAACACAGCCCCAGGCCCGGGAGCACCCCAAGGGGCAGTCACGTCCCTGTTCACCCCTCAGGCCCAGGGAGGACCTACAGTTGAGAGCCCAGGCCCCACAGGTCAGGATGCCATAGCTAACATGCTAGTGTGGGGTGAGAGAGGACTGAAGACAGTGTTGTAGGATGGCTGTGGTACAGAGAGAATCATAGCCCTGGCTGCCACCCGGCGCCACAGCCACAGCCCCCTGCACTGCCTACAGGGACAGAGCCCGCACCGGCCACTGTCACAGGACACTGGCCCTGCCTCACCTTAAGCCGCACCACGTGGGGAATCTTCACCCCATTGAGGAAGCACTTGATCTGGGGGATCCCACTGCCAGCAGCCACGGGCTAAAAGACACGGGGGTCAGGAAGGGGCGTTACGACATCACGTCATTTCTCTCTCCCCCACCCAGACACAGAGTGATGGAGAACCGAGGACCCGGGAGAGGCAGACGGGAGAGCCCAGGGACCCTGCACGCCCTCGGGGCTGTGGGATTGCGTCCAGCGCTACACAAGAAGCTGAGCTTCTGCCACGGAGGCCAGCACTCGGCACCTGGGGAGCTCTGGGAGCTGCCTCTCCCCTCTCCCAGCACCCCGGGGCCCTGGCAAGGGTGGCTCTCACTCAAGGGAACATGGATCCTCCCTGCAGAGGTACCCAGGGCAGGGGGTGCGTGAGCGTGCAGGTCTGCAGGGCTCCCAAAGCCGCACCTCTATGAAGGCCACGATGACGGAGCCCACTAGCACGAAGGCAGAGTTGAGCGTGGCCCAGAGCAGGAGGGAGAAGGACAGCCCGCCGTTCTTGGTGAACCTGTCAATATCTGGGGCCCGTCAAGGAGGGCTGGCAAACACTGTCACGGCGTTGCCCGGACGTCTCAGCAACGCCTCCCGGTGTGCCCACGGCGCAGGCCGCCGGGCCGCCCCCCCAGCCGGGCCAGCGCTATAGCACACCAGAAGGATACTGTCCTTAATGACCCTGTACTTGAGGCCGGCCAGGTTCTCCACCACGATATCAATGAAGCAGGCCACGAGGCCCGTGAGGATGCCGATGAGGGCGCAGATGACCCAGCGTGTGATCTCCACCGTCCGGAAGGCCTGCGGGGCACGGGAGGAGTGACGGGGGCCCGCTCTGCGGGGCTCACCGGGACCGGGGCCACCTGCAGGCTCCTGGCCACGTGGCTGACGTGGGCAGCAGAGTCCTTCACAGCCAGCTGGGTACTGCGCCTGCTCCAGTTTGAGCATGACACACTCGCCTGCGGAGCCTGGCGACTGGCACCAGCACGAGAGGAACCAAGACTAGCCGGTACGCTGCAGGCTGTGCGGCTGCTCCCCACTCACCCCTCCCTCGGCTCCCCTGCTCCCCGTGTGGTTGATCCGTCCCCGTGCTCCCCGTGTGGTAGATCCGTCCCCCTGCTCCCCGTGTGGTAGATCCGTCCCCCTGCTCCCTGTGTGGTTGATCTGCTCACCGTGTGGTTGATCCGTCGCTCCTCCTCCAGGAACAGCTGGTTCTCACTGTTGTCATAGTCCAAGCTCTGCAGACCAGACGGCGGGGCAGTGTGACTCACAGGCCACTCGGGGGAGAGCCGCGGCAGAGTGGGGGCTGGGTGGAGGGTGGAGGCCAGGGGCCGGCGCGGGGCGCGGGGCGCGGGGCGCGGGGCGGGAGGAGCCCCCACCTCGTACTTGAGTGAGAGCAGCTTCTCATTGTGCGGGATCTCCTTGGGGAAGGGATGGGGAGGGTCCATTTCCTGGGGAAGGAAAAGGCAGACACACTTGACGGGCCAGGACACATGTGTGAGGCAGAGCAGAGAGAGGGGACTCTCCCGGGAGGCCAGCACGACGCTGACACCCAGGGGGCAGGCGGTGGCTTTCAGACCCACAAGATCCGGCCATTCCGGCCTCTCCGCCTGCCTCCATCGGGCCAGGGCAGACGCAGCGTCCCTGGAGGGGGCGCCAGCGGACAACAGCATCATCCTGAGTGTGGTACACAGTGGGGAGGGCAGAGCAGTCACAGGCTGACCCAGGCCCCGGGCTGGCAGCTCAGCTATGGTAGACTGGGACACGGGGAGAACAAACTGGATCTTCTCCAACTGCAAGCTTTCCTGCATCCGAGAACCCCATCACGAAAAAGACAAGAGGAGCCAGGGAAGGGATGAGTCTGAGCGGGAGAGCTGGTCCCCTGGAACCCAGGAGCCCCAGCGCCGGCTCTATACTTCTCAGCGGTCACTCTCTGGAGGCCATGGGGGGAAGGGAAGGAGCTGGCCCATCTCCCTGAGCGTGCAGTGAACCCACGGGGCTGGGGTGGGAGGGGCTTTTCCCAGAGCCTTTCTGCCCCAGCTGCAGCCTGCTGGGGCTCCCTGGCCCTGCACCCCACCCCCTGTTGGCAAGCCCTGACTGCCATGTTGCCCACACGCGCTGCCCAGCAGGGGTGGCCGCTCACCGGGTCCAGGAGTTCCTCATCCAGCTCCACGCTGCTCATCTGTCCCACTCGGAAAGCCGCAGGGCGCGGTGCCTGGAGGCGAGAGAGCACGAGTGCTCTGGGCAGGGAGCACAGACACCCGGGGCAGGGCCAGCGCCACCCTGCCCTGGGCACCAAGGCCCAGGCCTGCTCTGGCCACCCCACACCCCCAGCTGGAGAGCCTACGAGCTCCTGACCCCTGTTCTAGATGAAAGCGGGGTTCATGGCCAACACCAGGACAAGTGGCTGGAGACCGCCCAACCAACCCAGCACCCATGCCGGCTCCACAGCCGTGCTCTGGGCTGGTGTCTGGTTTGGGGGCTCTCAGCCTGGCCCCCCAGCCCTGGCTGCCGTAGCCACTCGGTGAGCCAGTGGATACTGTTCTCTGATTTTGAAATACATAAAGTCATAAACCTTTAGCACAACAGCCCAGCAGCAAAGCGGTGAGGAGTTTCCGCACCAACTCCATGTGCAGAGCCAGGGCCTTAGCACAAAGGGTATAGGCCTAAAGCCACAGCCATCAGGCCAGCAGGAAGAGGCGCTCACACAGACAGCCGCCATGCGTGGGGGGCAGACAGCAGCCGCAGCAGGCAGCCACGCAGACAGCCGCCACGCGTGGGGGGCAGACAGCAGCCACAGCAGGCAGCCACGCAGACAGCCGCCACGCGTGGGGGGCAGACAGCAGCCACAGCAGGCAGCCACGCAGACAGCCGCCACGCGTGGGGGGCAGACAGCAGCGGCAGCAGGGACCATGCAGACAGCCGCCACCCGTGGGGGGCAGACAGCAGCTGCAGCATGGACCATGCAGACAGCCACCACGCGTGGGGCAGACAGCAGCCGCAGCAGGCGGCCACGCAGACAGCCGCCACGCGTGGGGCAGACAGCAGCCGCAGCAGGCGCTCCAACGGGGAGGGAGGCCTGAACCTCAGCTACACCACAGAACGCCTGCCCCAGGATGCTGCTGCGCTCAACGCCGCTTGTTTACAGGTGGTGAGCATCCCAGCGGCCTGAAACATGGACGTGACCAGCACCCCCACATTCTGCGGCCAGGACCAGGAGCAGTGTCCAGTCAGAACGACCCCCATGGCCACAGCGCCCAGCTGGGGTTGGCCCACAGCCACCTGCTCCAATCCCTGCCTTGGCCTGTACCCGGACCCTGCTGCAACGCATCAACGCTTCTGTCCGCAGGGACACCCACCCTGAGGTGCAGCCCTCCCAGCCCGCGTCACCCAACGGCCCCTCCTGCACAGGAGGCCCCGTGACGGGGCTGCCGTCCGCAGCAGCGGCCCTCCTGAGGTATGGTTGTGTGATGAGCTCTGCGATGCCTGCTGTCCAACAGTACAGGCGAGCAGTGACAGACACACCTGCTTCTCCTGACAACGACTGGCAATGTCTGCAGCCCAGGCATGGCCTGCCGGTCACGATGCGCTACTGTGGCAGGTGGGGGTGAGACCAGTGCTCAGCCATCAGCACTGCCAAGGCAGTCGCCTCCTCAAGCTGTGACCGCACACTGGGCAGGCAGGTGCAGGGCACAGGAGAGACCCAGCTGAGCAATGCAAAAATGGACTGGGGCCCAGCATGATAGCCTAGTGGCTAAAGTCCTCACCTTGCACAGGCTGGGATCCCATATGGGCACTGGTTCTAATCCCAGTGGTCCATTTCCCATCCAGCTCCCTGCTTGTGGCCTGGGAAAGCAGGGGAGGACAGCCCAAAGCCTTGGGACCCTGCACCTGCATGGGAGACCTGGAAGAGGCTTTTGACTCCTGGCTTCAGATTGGCGCAGCTCTGGTTGTCGTGACCATTTGGGGAATGAATCATTGGATGGAAGATCTTCCTGTCTCTCCTCTCAGTAATCTGATTTTCCAATTAAAAAAATAAAATAAATCTTTTTTTTTTGGTTAAAGATTTATTTATTTTTATTGAAAAGCCAGATATACAGGGGGAAGAAGAGACAGAGAGGAAGATCTTCTGTCCGATGATTCACTCCCCAAGTGACTGCAATGGCCAGAGCTGTGCCAATCTGAAGCCAGGAGCTCTTCCGGGTCTCCCACACGGGTGCAGGGCCCTTAGACTTTGGGCCGTCCTCGACTGCTTTCCCAGGTCACAAGCAGGGAACTGGATGGGAAGTGGAGCTGCCGGGATTAGAACCAGAGCCCATATGGGATCCTGGCGTGTTCAAGGCAAGGACTTTAGCTGCTAGGCCACGGTGCCAGGCCTGAAAAATAAAATAAATCTTAAAAAACAACAACAATAACAAGAAAAACAGCCCATAGCCCCGACACACGGAACCAGGCATTCCCTGGAGGAGTCAGGGACAGGGCGTGGCGCCCCAAACACAGGCTCTGGTCCCTTTACCCCATCTGTCAGACACCCAGGGCACAGCCTCATGCCACCAGGCGTGGCCCTGGCTCCCCAGAGTTCTGCTTGGCCCTGCCTGTAGTATACTGCCCACCCAGGAAGTGGGTCTAGACAGGACAGCCCTGCTTGCAGGGCGGCACCTTGGCACACAGGCTGGGAGAGATAGTGTGGCGAGCACAATTGCCAGGCTGCGCCACCACCCCAGGGGAGGCTGCACTCTCAGGGTACCCGGTGGCAGGAGTCCCCTTGGTGCAGCCTCGCCAAGGGGAACAGATGGGGTGAGCGTATGGGCCCGGCGCCTCAAGAAAGGGTCCTAGAGGATGTGCTGGGCAGAAGCAAGCTGGGCTCCAACACCCGTTGGGTTGCATAAAACACAGGGCTGGAGACAGAGCTGACCCAGAAGCTCCAACTACTAGCGTATGTGTAGGCCAATTTGGGTGCCAGATGGTGCCGGACCCTGTACTGGCAAACACACACAAGAATCAAGTCTGGGATGGCCTCAGATGAGACTTCGTTGGCAATTCCCTACCAACCGAGCCGCTGGACTCAGAACCCTAACCATGGAGAGAATCGCGGGTTCCACGGGCTGACCCTGGGAGTGGATGTGTCAGAGCTGGGCCTCCTCAGAGGCTCAGATGGAGCAGAGGACAGCATGTCCAATGTACATGGAGGATACGGCAGTACATCGGAGCCTCCGGAGGACACCTGGTACCATGGCAGAGCAGAACAAATTGATCAACTACCCCAGCTAAGCATTGGCAGTGAAGATCTGGGCAGCCGGAGACACTAAGGTGGACTACAGCAGCCAGGGGATTAGGGAGAGATTCATCGCGATTGCAGTGGAGGGATCGCCAGCAATTCAGGACTGCTGACCTATCAAAACCTCTTGAGAAATTCATGGTGTTGTAAATTTCTATTTTTCTTCCTGTTGTTGATTTTGTGTTGTGGTTTTTCATTTAAGAGGGATGTGTGGTGACTGTGTAATGGAGACTATCGTGTCCAGATGCGAGGATGCAGTGCAGTGTGCATCTCTACTTCCAGATCAAAGATGGACTAATGAAACTGTCAGCTGTACTTGACAATGGGAGGCTGGACTCTGCCGCTGTCCGTGCCCGCCGTGAGGGACACGTGACTGTGCATGAAGAGCTATGCTATAGCAACGACGTGTGGGAGTTCGGGGGAGGGGAGGGAAATCCCAGGCCCTATGGAACTGTGTCACAGAATGATGATAATAATTTTAAAAGAAGTTAAAATAAAAAATATATTAAAAAAAAAAAGAAAGAAAGGGGCCCTTGCCCATGGTATCTTTCTTGTTTAAAATGGGAACTAATTATGTGCCCAGTGTGGTAGCCTAATGGCTAAAGTCCTCACCTTGCGTGTGCCGGGATCCCATATAGGTGCCAGTTTATATCCCGGCAGCCCCACTTCCCATCCAGTTCTCTGCTTGTGGCCTGGGAAAGCAGCAGAGGATGGTCCAAAGCCTTGGGACCCTGCACCCGCGTGAAAGACCTGGAAGAAGCTCCTGGCTCCTGGCTTCAGATCAGCTTAGCTCCAGCTATTGTGGCCACTTGTGGAGTGAACCAGTAGACAGAAGATCTTCCTGTCTCTCCTTCTCTCTGTGATTCTGAGTTTACAATAAAAATAAATCTTTTTTTAAAATGCAACCTATTTCAAAATTGTTCTTCAAACTACTAACTTTGATTTGTCTCCAGGATGGGAACCAAACCCTGCAGCTCCAGGCAGGACTGCAGGGCTGAGCGTGCGCACGCAGGACCAGGGGGCTGGCACCCACCACACACCCACAGTGCCTGTAGGATGGGACCACTGGGAGGCACTGTGAGAAGGGAACACAGGGCCCCTCACAGTCACTTTCCTGTGACTCCACTTCCCCCTGCACAACACATGACCATGACTTGCTGGCTGACCTGCTGCCACATGGGCAACCTTGCTGGGCACTCAGTCACCCACACTCTGCAGGCTGGGAACCACTGGGGCCCAGTCCGTCAACACGCACCAGACCGCCGTGTCCACCAGCTCACGCTGGAAATGTTGGCCCAACCTTCCGACGGGGGGTGTGGGTGTCAGCCTGGACGAACACCCACGTTCAGGTCACGGGACTGTTCCCCCAGGCAAGGTGGCTTCGGCCTGGGTTGTGCTCCAGTTCAAAGCGACCCGTGACCATGCAGCTTACACATGCCACCTGCTGCGCTTCTCGGGGAGGCAGGCCTCTGAAGACAACCCTGAGAGCTGCCAGGCTCACAGCAGACCTGCCCTCAAGACCCTCAGTCCTGGAGCCTGGTGGCGTGACATGTGAGGCAGCTGCTGCGTGCAACGCCCGCGTCTCACAAGGTGGTGCAGGTCCAGTCCCCGCGGCTCCCCTTCTGCTCCCACTCCCTGCCACTGTGCCCCAGAAGGCAGATGATGGCAGACCCCAGCCCCAGCCGCCGTGGCAGGCTGGGGAGTGGGCAGTGCAGGAAAATCCACAATCTCTCCCTGCTGTGTCATTAGCTGCACTAGTGGATGACTCAGTAACACTGGGAACCCCCGTCCCAAGGGCACCTCGAACACGCGGCTCCATCCTGAAACCCCGAGACAGGCCTGCGGAAGACTCACAGAAGCACAAGAGGTCCTTCAGGGCCGGAATCCCCAACTTCCCAGGGGGCTCCTGTGCACAACAGTGCAGACCTGCTCGCCCCGAGGTGCACCCCAAACCGGCAGGGTCTCAGACACACACCCTGCCACTGTCCAATGCCACCAGCCGCCTGTGACCTGCCTTGCCCGCGAGCTGCTTCATGCACGCTGCCGGCCGCGGAGCAGGCAAGCTGCTTCTCCATTTGACTGTGGTGTGAGGCAACCCCCTTCTCCCGGCCGGCAGGACACACCGGCCCAAGGGCCCCTCCGGCCACCCGGCTGCGCCCAGGGCACACACAGGGGGACAGCGGAAGTGGACTGCTTCCTGCAAACCCCCTGCGGGCCTACCCGAGCCCAGGTGTGGGACTCGCCCGGGGGAGAGGGACGAGCCCAGGGCGCCAGCCGTTCTGGACACCCAGGCTGCGTCCCTGGGGCCCCGGAAGCGCGGGCAGAGCCGCCTCACCTGGCGCGCGGCCCCGTTCAGCAGCGGCGTCCTCCGCAGCAGCGGCGCCGCCTCCTCGTCGTCCCGGTCGCGGCCGGACCACGACACCTTCTTGGAGACGTTGGCCATGGCCAGCCGCGGGCCCGCTCGGCACAGGAAGCTCCCGGGCCCTGCCGGCAGCCACGTGACGCGAGGCGGCGGCGGGTCACGTGACGGCGCGCTGTCACGTGCCCCGCGAGCGCGGCGGCCCTGGTTCCCCAGCCCGGGGTCGTCGGGCAGGTCTTGCAGGAAGGCAGGCCGAGCCCAGGTCTCCGCACGCGCGGGAAGCCTTCCCTGCAGGAGACGGGCTCCCGGGCAGCAGCCCCGAGGACCGGGCCGCAGAGGGGAGCCCTAGCTTGGACCGGGCCGCAGAGGGGAGCCCTCAGCTCACAGGCGGCCGTGGCGGGAGAAGGGGCAGTGGGCCTGGCTAGGAGCAGTGCTGGGTCACGCCGGGCAGCAGGAGCCAGACACTCCATGTGCTGTGGCCACTGCCAGCCCCGGGAAGACCAGGATGAGTTCCAGATCTTGACCTGGCCCAGCCCTGCCATTGCAGCCAAAGTGGCAGTAAGGATCGGCTTTCAAAGTAATTAATTAGGGCCCGGCGGCATGGACTAGCGGCTAAATTCCTCCTCTTGACCATATGGGCGCCGGTTCTAATCCCTGCAGCCCCACTTCCCATCCAGCTCCCTGCCTGTGGCCTGGGAAAGCAGTCGAGGACTGTCCAAAGCTTTGGGACCCTGCACCCGTGTGGGAGACCCAGAAGAGGCTTTTGGTTCCCAACTTTGGATTGGCACAGCACTGGTCATTGCGGTCACTTGGGGAGTTAGGGAGTGAATCATTGGATGGAAGATCTTCCTTTCTGTCTCTCCTCCTCTCTGTAAATATCTGACTTTGTAATAAAAAATAAATAAATCTTAAAAAAAACACAAAGTAATTAATTAACGCTTAACAAACAAAAATATGGGCCCAGGTGCCATGGCCTAGCGGCTAAAGTCATTGCCTTGAACGCACCAGGATCCCATATGGGTGCCAGTTCTAGTCCCAGCAGCTCCACTTCCCATCCAGCTTCCTGCTTGTGGCAACACCCCAAAGCCTTGGGACCCTGCACCCACGTAGGAGATCTGGAAGAAGCTCCTGGCTCCTGGCTTTGGATTGGTGCAGCTCTGGCCATTGTGGCTGCTTGGGGAGTGAATCATAGAACAAAAAAGATCTCTGTCTCTCCTCTCCTCTGTATCTTTCTAATATAATAGAAACAAAAAATAATTTTGAGTCAAGCTTGATGCATCATAGAGTTCTTGTAGCAGCATTAAGAACCTACCCACCTGAGCCCAGCATGATGGCCCGGTAGCTAAATCCTCACCTTGCATGTGCCGAGATCCCATATGGGCACTGGTTCTAATCCTGGGAGCTGCACTTCCCACCCAGTTCCCTGCCTGTGTCCTGGGAAAGCAGTCGAGGACGGCCCAAAGTCTAAGGACCCTGCATCTGTGTGGGAGACCCCGAGGGGTCTCCTGGCTTCAGATCAGCTCAGCTTCAGCCGTTGTAACCACTTGGGGAGTGAAGCGGAAGATGGAGGATCTCTATGTCTCTCTGCAAAGCTGCCTTACTAGTAAAATAAATAAATCCTAAGAGGAAGCAAGGCTAGATATGAATTTATCATACCACCCAAAAATTCTACTCCCAAGCATTCACACAGAGCGATACAGCAGGACTCGCAGAAAAGCTGGTGTGCAGGTACTCAGCTTCTGTCCCACTACCCCAGACGAGGGACCCCAGGGCACTTCCCTAGGGAGACGGGCAGGCGCTCAGGCCTCACTGCAGTCGGTGCTGGCACAGAGTCCAGAAAGGAGGCGAGACTCAGATGCACAGTGCTTGCATTTATGTCCAGATGAGAAAGCAGAGTGCTGGTGTGGGGGCTGGGCAGGGAGTGGACGTATGTCCACCAGGTGTGCCAATATGAGGTGGGCAGGCACCCTGGCAGTGGGTGGCAATGCCTCAGCCCCCACCCGCCACACTCAGAACAGGCACATGCTGGGCGTGGCTCAAGTCTGGCTGAGGTCTCAGAGCACTTCCAGTCAGCCCACACTGGCCTCCAGGGCTACTGGGCTCCCCAGGCAGGGGCTGCCAGAGAAGGGCTCTGCGGAGCCTGTTGGAACTGAAAAGGGAACCGTTTCCGCTTGAGGGATGGCAGCAGTGGTACAGATGCTCGTGCCCAGAACCAGCCTGGACAGACGGCAGAGGCCCTGTCGGAGCAGGCCCAGGCAGTGGCAACGTCCTGCTCACAAGGACGCTCCAGGGCTTTGAGGAGCAGTGTGTGCCCCTGCTGCGCCTGTGGGGAGACAAAGCCTGCAGACAGAAGCCTTGCCTGTCTCACACAGAATCCATGCAGGGCACTTGAGCTCGCCGGAGGGCTGGTCTGCTTGCCCTGCCCTGGTCTGCATCCCAGCCCCAGCCATGCCACGGCTGCCTCCCTCGGCAGGGCTCATTGCCGGGGAGCATGCAGGGCACGCCGGGTCAGGATGGCCAGCACAGTGGGCTTGCTCCCCTGGCCGGCCCAGGGCCTGACCTCAGTGCACTCCCGGCTCCACCCCATGGGCAGCTCTCCGGGCAGACCCACCTAGCCCTCTGCACAAACCTACCGGGGGAAGTGGCATTAGCTAGGGTCAGGATGGCACCTACTGGGGGCTTGTTCCCCAGGGCCAGGCTTGCAACTTCCCCAGGGGTCAGCACCCGGTCCCAGATGGCCATGCCGGCCATGCTCCCCACAAAGGCCTCGGAGCTGTCAAACCCGCCCCCCACGTGGTCCTGCTCCTGGCCCAGCACCAGGGATCCTCCAGGGGGAATCTCATAGCCCTCCCTGAAGTGAGAGCCTGTGGCCACCAGCCTGCGGTCCACATGCAGCCAGTACCTGCCCTGGATGGATGTCCACATAACACACACATGGTGCCAATGGCCATCCAGCAGGGGCTGCAGGGGCAGCTCCCGGAAGGCCGGGTCGCCGATCACCAAGTGGATGGTGCCGGGCGCCAGGGAGTCGCGGCCGTGCAGCACCAGCTTGTTGTCGTTGTCATGGGTGGCGTAGGAGAGCAGGGTGCCCAGGCGGCCAGGGGCCGTGCACAGCCAGCTGCAGAAGGACAGGGCCCGCAAGGGCATGGGGAAGCCGGGCCCAAGGAAGACCACATTCTCCGTGGAGGCGTTCGGGAAGATGAGCATGGGGCCCACGTCGCAAACTAAAAAGAGGAGGAGGGAAAATCAGCTGTGTATCATGAGGCAACCTGGAAGCTTCTGGAAGCTTTAGAAGCTTCAGGCTGCAGGTGCTCCCTCTGCTGCAAGGGGTGATGATGACCCAATGGCAGAGGGTCCTGGGCATGAGCTCTGGGCACTCCCAGGGGTCAGCCCGCAGCATCTCGCTCACCCCGCTTCACAGAATGGCAGGGTCAGTTGAGCTCCATGAGGGCGGAGCCTTCGGGACACATCACTCAAGCTTGGTGACCTGAAGCTGCGCAGGTTTGTGTTTTTAGTTCTGCCAGAGGTCTCAGCAGGCGTGAGCCGAGGGCCAGGCCCTCAGGGTAAAGCTGTTTGCTGCTTCTCCCACCTGCTCACGTGCTGGGATTCTGCACTCGTGCCACCTGCTCTCCCATCAGAGGGCTGGTCTTGTCCCCTGCGGCCCTGACCCTCCTGGCAGATGGGCAGGACGGGAAACAGACTCGCCTTTACCCGCGATGGCTCCTCTCCTGCACGGTGGCAGGAGGGCCCTCCACAGCTCTTCTGCTATGGGGACCTGCAGCCTGGCTGGCACCTGGACCTGTGAACAGGGCAGGGTGCGTGGGGCTCATGGTGTTGGAGGGAACACAGCTGCAGCAGGAGCCAGGGGGCCAGACTTGCAGCACAGGGGATAAAGCTGCTGTGCACAGTGCCAGCAGCCCATACAGGCCCCTGCTTGTGACCAAACTGCTTCACTTCTTTTTAAATTTATTTATTATTATTAGAAAGTAAGATATACAGAGAGGAAGAGAGTGAGAGAGGAAAATCTTCTGTCCACTGATTCACTCCCCAAGTGACTGCAACAGCTGGAGCTGAGCCAATCTGAAGCCAGGAGGCCAAAGCCTCCTCTGGGTCTCCCACACGGATGCAGGGACCCAAGGCTTTGGGCCGTCCTTGACTGCTTTCCCAGGCCACAAGCAGGGAGCTGGATGGGAAGCAGGGCTGCTGGGATTAGAATTGGTACCCATATGGGATTCTGGTGTGTGTAAGGCAAGGACTTTTTAGCCACTGGGCTACTGCGCTGGATCCTGCTTTACTTCTGACTCAGCCCCCTGCTAAGGCCTAAACAGCTGAAGATGGCCCAATGTCCGGACCCTGTCACCTGTGAGGGAAACCAGGCTAGCGCTCCTAGCTCCTGGGCTTTGGCAGCCCTCTGGGGCATGAACCAGCAGAACTCTGACTTTTAAACAGATAAGTGCATTTTTAAATAAATAAGGAACAAAGAGGAAACAGGGAAATGGGGGTGGGGTGGGAAAAGTACTTCATGCACTTACCCTCTCCTGGCTCCTGGAGGGATGGCACCCACTGGGCAGGGTCCTTCAGGGCAGCCTCACTGAGCACCTGGTGACTGCCTGGCCCGCGGCGTCCCTGGGCCCTGAAGTCCTGAGCCGGGTTCTTGGGTTCAGGCAGCCCCTGCCTGCCGCTCTGTGGCTTCAGGAGGTTCGGGGCTGCCAGCGTAGGTGGTGCCGGGGCTTCGGCTGGGCTCTGCCCCAGGGCCATGGGGCTGGCGTTGGCTGTTGGCAGCCACCCCTCCAGGGCAGCCAGTCTGGTGTCCTGGCTGTGGACACTTTGCGTCAGGCGGACCAGCGCATCCTGTAGTGCCCGTAGGCCCAGGCCCGAGATGGCATCCTTCTGTGCCTGCATCCTCTGTGGGCCCTTCTGGTTCCAGGCCAGCTCCAAGGCGTGCAGCCGCCTGGCCACCATCCTGCCCCTGCGCTGTGACTCACCCATCTGTGTCTTCAGGCGAGTCAGGTCCCCCTGCACAGCAGCCTGCGACCGGTTCATTGCTGTGGCCGTGGCCCGGAGCTGGGCCTGGGCACTTAGGGATGCACTGTAGTTGTCAGCAATGGCCTGCAGGTGTGTCAGGGTCACCTCCTGTAGTCTGTGAAACTGTGAGAAGGGGGGAGTCAGGGGGCCAGGGACCGCAGGGGAAGGAAGACCACCTTCCCGGCCAACACCGCAGCACAGGCGGGAAGGACACCCCGAGCCGACCCCATGCTGCTGCCAGACACGGAACCCCGCAGGCCACGCCTGGACATACCTGCTCTTCTAGCCTACGCAGCCTCTCGAAGAACGGCTTCCTTGGCCCAGCCAGGCTGGCTCCCGGTGGAGCAGTCCCTGACAGACACAGCAGCACACAGATGAGGAAGAGGAGGGCCAGGGCCCTGCTCCCCAGGCAGCTCATCATGAGGGCACAACCCGCGGGCTCCCCACCCTGAAGGAGATGTCTGTCTGTCTGTCTGTCTGTCTGGGGTAGCCACACTCCCACCCCCGCCACGGCCCAGCCCCAGCCTGCGGCTGACCGGAGTTGAGCACTTTTCCACCCCTGGCGTTTGGCTGGCTGACAGGTGCTCCCAGCGCCCCCACCAACTGCATCCACGGCCAAACCCCGTGGGCTGGTGCAGTTCAGGTTCCCAAGGAGACAGCCTGCGATGGACACAAACAGGAAAGCCCTCCCCATCCCTGCAGGCGTGTGGGGCGTGATGGCTTCAGCAGGAGCGACAGGCATTCTGCAAGGCCAAATCAGCCCTGGCGCCCAGTCGTATGGGGAAGGCAGTGCACACGGGATGGGGGACCCCTTGATCTGTCTGGGGTGCAGCTTGTGTAGCGGGTTACTGAGAATCCTGATTCTGGCACCTGTGTGTGACCTTGAGCAGAGGACTGCGCTGGCAGGAAATGAGGTCCCTGTGGACGCAGTGGCAGGCGTCCTCAGGAGGAGGAGGGACAGGCCACATGAAGCCGTGGCGAGCCCGGAGTGATCCTGCTGTCGTCACCCAGGAGCCAGCAGCTCAGGGCTCACTGTTGCTGTCTTATTTTTTTAAAGGTTTATTTATTTTTTATTGGAAAGTCAGATACACAGAGAGGAGGAGAGACAGAGAAGATCTTCTGTTCGATGAATCACGCCCCAAGCAGCTGCAACGGCTGGAACTGCGCTGATCTGAAGCGAGGAGCCAGGAGCTCCTCCAGGTCTCCCACACGGGTGCAGGGTCCCAAGGCCTTGGGCCGTCCTCAATTGCTTTCCCAGGCCACAAGAAGGGAGCTGGATGGGAAGTGAAGCTGCCAGGGTTAGAATCGCTGTCCATATGGGATCCTGGCGTGTTCAAGGGGAGTACTTCAGCCACTAGGCTGCTGTGCCAGACTCCATTGCTGCTGTTTTAGTCCAGTCTGTCTGAGGCAACAAAATAACCCACAGTAACTCATGTTCAATAGCATAGCTGCCAAGAAGTGAGGCCTGGACCAAGCTGAAGCAGGGGCTGCGAATTCTGTCCCAGGAGTCTCCACGTGGGCAGCAGGGGCCCGTCCTCGGCTTCCTGGCAGCTCGTGCATCAGCAGGGAGCTGGCTGGGGAAATGGAGGCGCACCCTCAGGGGCAGCCACCAGGAGGGACAAAGCCTCATCCCTTACCCCAGGCCGCACGCGCCGCGCAGCCTCGGCGCCGGCTGGTGCACTTCGGGAGACTTCGGGAGATTTCGGTTCCCACCGGCGGCCTGCCCAGACCCCGCCCCCAACACAACCCACCCCGCCTCCGGAGCAGGTCCCGCCCCTGACGCAGGCCACGCCCCCAGTGGGCCTCTGCGCAGGCGCAGCAGCGGCCCGGAGGTGGCCGGGCGGACGGCCGAGCGTGCAGGCTCCCCAGGCTCCCGGTGCTCAGCCGGGCCGCGCTCGTGGGCCCCCGCTCGGCCCTGCCGGCATGATGGACACGGACGCCGCGCGCTCCGCCGTGCGCGAGGCCCTGCGCGCCCTGGCCTTGCCCGAGGACGGCGACCGCCTGCTGTCCGCCCTGGGGCCCCTGCAGCGCCTGCTCGGGGATGCGGGCGGCGCGGCGCTCGGGCGGGAGGAGCTGGCCACGGCGCCCTTCGCCGCCCTGCTCCGGGGGCTGGCGCGCAGGCTGGGCGCGGGCGGGCCGGACGGGCGCCTGGAGCAGCTGTGCCGCGGCCTCTTCCTGCGGGGCCCGGCCGACCAAGCCTTCCTGGTGCTCATGGAGGCCATAGAGGACGCTGCGGGGTGAGTGGCGCGCGCCTCTGCCTGCGCCCGCGCAGACGGACAGCCGGCTTGCACCGAGCCTCGGCCGTGCCCTGCGCGGTGACGCGGCTCAGGCCGGGCCGTGGCTGTGGTGGGCGCTGGGGGTGGTCTCGCTCTGCTGAGGGCTTCCCGCCGGAGGTGCTGAGTGGGAATGTGAGGTTCTCTTTCGAGTTGGGAGTTAGCACCCCTGTTCAGGAGCGGTCCTCCCGGTTGTCGGGAGGGGCGCCGAGGACGGGGTTGGGGCAGCGGCCTCACTTCTGTCCTTGTCCAGCCCCAGCGCCCGGCTGGTGAGGATGGCGCAGCTGCTGGCCACGTTCCTGAGCCAGGGCAGGATGGCGGCTCTGATGGAGGAGCAGTGCCGGCAGCAGGCGCTGCCTGGGACCCCTCTGCTGCAGGAGACGCTGCTGGTCAGGGTGGTGGGCCTGCCCGACCACCTGGCCAACCGCCTGCAGCGGGACACCCCGGCCGAGTTCCTGCCCCAGAACTACTTCCCCTTGCTGGGCGAGGAGCTAGTGCGGGCCCTGCAGTCGGTCGTGGAGTGTCTGCGAGGTGAGCCACGCGGGTCACGTCGAGGTTGGGACGGTGGCCGCATGTACTGAGCGGCGTCTGCCTCCTGGCTTGACCTTGGGAGGTGGGCGGTGGTGAGGGTGGGAACCTTGGGCCTGCCCCCGCCCTGGCCCCGCCCTGGCCCCTGTTCCCTGGGCCGGCGCCTCGGGGTGGTCTCGAGAGCCTTACACTGCATCTGGGCCTGTTGTGGTGCCCGACATGCCCTGTCCCTGTAGGCCGTGTGCCCTGCGCTGCCCTCAGTGATCCCATCACCCGATTCACCGGGTCATGTCGGCTCCCTCATCCGTGTGTTCGGGTAGAACCGGTCAGGTCTGCCTGCGCATGGGTGGATGTGTTGTTCTGCACGTGAATGCCCCAACTCGGGGACCCCTGCTCTGCCACCTGCCCGTTCTGCCTTCCTCCCCCAGGCGGCTTGGACTGCTCCGTGGCCTTTGCGTCTCGAGTCCTTGGGAAAGTCTGTGTCCAGGGGAGGCAGAGTGAGTAGGCCCTGCCCACCCCTCCTGGCGTGACCCCTCCTCCCTGGGCTGGGGCGTTGTGGGCTCCCGAGGCCTTGTGGTCATGGTCCCCACAGTGGTCATGTCCCCTCAGAGGAGATCCTGGGTGTGCTGGTGCCTCGGCTGACTGCGCTCACCCAGGGCAGCTGCCTCTGGCAGCGGGTCTGCTGGCACCTGCTGGAACAAGTGCCTGACCGGGCTGTGGAGGCGACGCTGATGGGGCTGGTGGAGGCCGTCACGGGGTAAGCAGCCAGGCTTCTTGCTAGCGCCGGTGCTGGTCTAGAGGCGGGCGTGGGGAGGGGTCCCTAGTGTGTGGGGCAGCCCCCCCACTAGTGTCCGCAAGTTGCCGTCTTGTCCTCCCACCCTGCTGTTTCCCTGACTGATCCTGTTAGGTGCCTGTTCGTTCAAGGCTCAGAGCTCCCCACCAGGCCGTGTCCTGGGGGACAGGAGCAGGGGTCCCTTAGTGTAGGTCCGGGGTCCCAGGTGTGAGTCGGGTCTTACATGACAGGCACGCGGCTGTGTTATCCACTCACATGTCTGCCGTGGCCGCACCTGGCTTTGGGGGCAGAGGTGAGCGCTGGGGAGGCAGGCCCGTGAGGGAAGATGGCTGACATTCTGGCTTTCACAGGGGGCTTGCTGTCTAACTCAGAGTGAGGCCCTGGTCCTTGGTGCTCATGGAAAGCACTCACCCTGTGTTGTCTGTTAGCTTGGCATGGGGCCCAGGCCCTCCATTCGGGATTCCAGCTGCAGGCCTGGGGAGCCGAGCGAGCTCTGAGGCCAACGGCCGCTCCAGCCCGCCTCCCTGTGCCCCGCAGGCCGGAGGTTCTGTCGCGACTCCTGGGGAACCTGGTGGTGAAGCACAGAAAAGCGCAGTTCGTGCTGACCCAGAAGCTGCTGTTGCTGCAGTACCGGCACTCGGTGAGGCCCGGGCAGGGGGCCCCTGCGGGATCAGGCCGCCTGTGTCTGCAGGCTGGCCCGTGGGAGCGTGGGCCTCTTCCTGCAGGCCGTGGTCGCTGCCGAGGCGACGCTGACGGGGCTGGTGGAGGCCGTCATGGGTAGGCGGCCAGGCACGCGTGGTGGCCTCCAGGCGGGTGTGGGGAGGGGCTTTGGTGTGTAGGACTGCTCACTTCTTGCAGACACCTGTGCTGCAGAGCCTGCTGGGGTACCTGGCCATGGACAGCCAGCGGCGCCCGCTCCTCATACAGGTGTGTCCCGGGGGTGGGCTGCGGGAAGGGCGGGGCGGCCCCGGGCGCGGCCTGCCTGACCTGGCCAAGGCCGTGTGCCTGCAGGCCCTGAAGGAGCTGCTGGAGACGTGGGGCAGCAGCAGTGCTGTCCGGCACGCGCCCCTGGCACAGCAGCGCTACATCAGCAGGGCCATCCTCATCTGTCTGGCACACGTGCGGGAGCCAGAACTGCAGGGCAGCCGCGACGGTGAGCCAGAGTCCGGGCGCCTGGGTCAGTGCCGGCCATGTATGCTGCCGGAGCGGCCTGGCTCAGCCACGTGTCCTGTTTGCAGAGCTGCTGGCTAGTATGATGGCAGGTGTGAAGTGCCACCTGGACAGCAGCCTGCCCCCCGTGCGACACCTGGGCATGATTGTGGCCGAGGTGGTCAGCTCCCGGATCCACCCTGAGGGGCCTCCCTTGAAGTTCCAAGTGAGTGGGGCCATCCCTGTGAGCCCCCCGAGCTCTCCCCGTCCTCTTGCTGCGGGTGACCCCTGCCTGCCCGGCGGTTGCCAACTCCGGCCTGCCTGCACTCCCAGTACGAACAGGATGAACTAAGCCGCGAGTTGCTTGCCTTGGCCACCCCTGTGCCTGTGGGCAGTCAGTCTCCAGAGCCAAGGTGAGGGCCTTGGGGTCCCTGTCCCCTGCCTGCTTGGGATCCTGGTCCCACGGTTCAGGCAGCAGCTGAAAGGCCTTTCCTTGTCTGCCCCAAGCCCGTCCGTTGCTCTTGTGGCTGAAGACCCCCCCGCAGAGACAGAGCACAGCACCACAGAGACCCCTGCAGAGCCCAGCACCACAGAGACCCCTGGCAGCCGCATCCCTGGGGCAGGGCTGGAGGGATCTGACTCAGAGCTGGACAGGTAGGGCTAGGCTCCGGCTCCTTCACCCTGTGAGGGTGGCCGGGATGCCAGGGCTCACCTAGCCTGCAGGGTTCAGCTTTTCCTCCTGTGGGCCCGTGGCTCTGGGTGTGTCTTCCACAGTGACGATGAACTGGTTCCCTATGACATGTCTGGGGACGGGGAGCTGTGCGGTGGCAAGGCGCCAGTGTACATCCGAGACTGCATGGAAGGTGCGCCTTTCTGGGGCTTGGGGTGCCTGCCTGTCTGCCCTGCACCACGCTGGCATGTGGGCCGTCCACATCAGCCTCACACTGACAGCTGTCCGGGTTGTGTGCAGTGCTAAGTGGGTCCGAGGATGCCGAGCGCTGGGAGGCCGCCCTGCGGGCCCTGGAGGGCGTGGTGTGCAGGAATCCCGAGGCCACTAGGGAGGTGAGCCGGGAACCACCCCCGGGGAAGCAGGGTCTGTGTCCGGTCACCGAGGGGTGCCTGTGTTGGGAGCCTGACTCCCCTACCTGTGCAGGTGAGCACAGAGCTGGCCAAGGTACTGCTGCACCTGGAGGAGAGAACGTGTGTGGCAGGGTTTGAGGGGCTGCGTCGGAGAGGCCTCGTAGCGGTCACGGTCGCAGATCCCGTGCGGGTAAGTCCCTTGCTGACAGCTCTGGCCAGCGCATGTACAGCTGGCTGCGCATGCTGGCCGAGCCAGGTGGACCCCAACCTCTTTGCTGTGTGCCCCAGGTGGCCAAGTACCTGAGCTCGCAGTTCTATGCTCTGAACTACAGCCTCCGGCAGCGCATGGACATGCTGGACGTAAGTGCCCGGGCCGTGCAGGCTGACGCTGTGCTCAGCAGCCGCGTCACGGCAGCCACATCCTGCAGCTTGGTGTTCCAGGACGCAGACCCTCCCTGGTCAGCAGGTGTGGGCTGGCACAGTACCCGGTGCTGATGGGGACAGAGGGCCCCTTCAGGGCGGGGCATTGTGGAGCCGGGGTGGGGGACACAGCCAGTATCCTCCCACAGGTCCTGACTCTGGCGGCCCAGGAGCTGTCTCGGCCAGGGCGCCGCGGGAGGACCCCTCAGCATGGTGCCCCATCACTAGCTGCTCCTCAGGCTGAAAGCCCCGTGGCTCCTGGGTGGCGGCTACTGGTGGACGAGCGGATCAGAAGCAAGACCCGGCGGTTCTCTAAGGTCAGCCAGCACCTGGTCAGGCCCTTGCAGGGGTAGGATGAGTGGATGAGGGACAAGGGGCAGTTAGGCTGTGTGGCTGCAAACGGGGACCAGGAACGTGGACCTGATGGAGTCCGGGGGAACTTGCATCACACAGGTGGCCCACTGGGCTGTCCTTGGTCTAGCGATCTAGGATGCGTGCGTGCGTCTTGGTTGCACTAGGTGGTGTGGGGGTGGGCGGCTACTGAGTGTCCTGCAGTGCCAGGAGCGGGGCCCCCCAAGGGGAAACCCCAGTCTGGGCCCTGGCAGCCCCAGGCCAGGGAGAGCTGGGGTGACAGTCCCTGGCGGGCAGCTGTGTACCTGCTGCCTGGGCCTCAAGGCGCCGTGTGTTGGCAGGGCTGCCCTCAGCGGGCACCGGCGGGTGGCCCCAACGAACTCAACTCTGTGGTCGGCCACTTCTTCTTCCCCCTCATTCAGCACTTTGATAGGTGAGGGAGTTCCCGAGAACGTGATCTGGGGACAGGAGCCTGTGGCAGGGCTAAGGCTTCTCAGGGTGGGGCTGAGGCCAGGGTCAGCCAACACGGGCTTTTCTGCTGTTTGAGCTCTGTGGTCGGGACACAGGGTGTCGCTGCCTTGTGTGCTGTTGGCTGTTCATGCCCTGCCTCCTCAGAGCTAGGCCAAGGCTGTGGGGCCGCAGGACAGGAGGGTGCCCCGATGGAGCCAGGCCTGCCCCAGGCAGCCCATGGGGTGGGTTGGGAGCCGGGAGGAACCCTCCTGGGTCTCTCTGGGTGCCTCATGGGGCCTTAAGGATGTCCGGAACGTGGGGGTCTCCCTGGGAGCAGCTTTGGAGTACCAGAGAGCAGCAGCACTCACTCTGGGTTTAGGCCTGTGGTGACCTTTGACCTTTTGGGCGATGACCAACTGGTTCTTGGAAAGCTGACCCACACCCTGGGGGCCCTGATGTACCTGGCTGTGAACACCACAGTGAGTTGGGACATGGCAGCTGAAGGCCTGACGTGGGAGGGTCCTGAGGGCCCTGTGGCCTGTGCGGTGGGAGCAGCTGGCCGGGCCAGGGCAAGCAGCCGCTCCTTGGCTCCTGGCTCAGGGGTCTGGGGACGCTGATGGCCATATCCCTGGGACAGCAGGAGCACCCCCATGTTTGCACCCTGAGCCCACTCTTCCTTCTGCTGCTGCCAGGTGGCCGTGCCCATGGGCAAGGCCCTTCTGGAGTTTGTGTGGGCCCTGCGCTTCCATGTCGATCCGTGAGTGGCTTGCTGGGGGCAGGGCAGGGATCTGGGGAACGGGTGCATGGCATCCACAGTGGGGTTGCAGGGAGCCTCCCGTGGCTGAGGCAGCTTGGCTGGGCACTGCCTGGGACTCAGGCTGGGGCAGAGCCTGCATAGGAGGCCTGCCTGGCCTGGGGTCAGGGTCCCACTGCCCCCCAGGCTGGTCCTTATGCTGTCTGTACTCCTGGGTAGCTTTGTGCGCCAGGGCCTACTGTCTGCCGTCTGCTCTGTCCTCCTTGGCGTGCCTGCCCAGCGACTACTGGAGGACCTGCCTGATGAGCTGCTGGAGGCAAGGTCTTGGCTGGCCGGTGAGTGCCGCGGCCCAGGTGACCATGGCTGGCAGATGGGAGGCAGGCTGTCCCTGTGTGGAGTGGGTTGGCCATTCTGAACTGGGTCCCTTTGGGACGTCCTGTAGGAGAGCCAGAGGAGGACGCCTCACTCAGTCACCTCTGCTTCCTCCAGCCATGGGGTGTGCGCCCCCTCTCCCCTACAGCCATGTTTCTGCTGAAGGATGAATCCCCATGACCCGCACAGCGCAGCGCCAGGCCCGGCTGCCGTGTGCGCCTGTGTTTTGCCCTGACCCAGGATCTAGCTGAGGGCATTTGCTGGCTGTTGGCAGCCTGGCTCTCCGGGCCCCTGTCCACAGTGTGACTACTGACCACACTGCAGCAGACTCGGCCTTCCGTCTGGCCAGCCAGGAGGGCAGGCCACACCTCCCGACTGCCACCTCGGTCCTGCAGGCTTCTCTGGGTGACCCTGGCCCTGTCTGCATGGCATGCTTATGCCAGGGTGGCTTGCGAGGGCCCGGGGGTCATACGGTCGCTGTTCTCTGTGCACAGTGCAGTACCAGCTCCCCCTACTCACCCTGTCTGTCTGGTGGAGTTGGGGACCTTATGTGACTCAATCCTTTGTCCTCAAGCTGGCTGCCAGGTCGGTGCTGGGGTGAGGCTGTAGTGGCCTGGCCCAGTTCCCAGGAGCAGGCGCTGCTCGTGCAGGGGCACCGGGGAGGCCAGCAGGTGCTCACGGCGGGGCTTGGGCTCACGTATCTTCACCTTGGGCAGATGTGGCTGAGAAGGATGTGGACGAAGACTGCCGGCTGCTGGCCCTGAAGGCCCTGCTGCTGCTGGAGCGGCTCAAGGACAAGCTCCTGCCCCTGCCCTCCCCCGTGGGCCCCTGAGCTGGACGAAGGTGTCTACTGGGGGAGGGGGCACCGGAGGAGGGGCCTGAGATCCTGGCAACACCGGTCAGGTCTCTGATGGCCCAGCTTGTGTGTTCAGTCAGAGTGCCCAGGTGTTGGGGCTGCAGAGCTGGGGCAGGAGATGGTACTGGCAGGGCCAGGTCCCAGTGTGGGCACCTTGGCCTTCCCCAACATGATGTTGGCAGGTGTGCTGTGGCATTAGCTGGGCAGACGCCCTCTGTGAGGGAGCCACCAGCACGGGTGAAGAAAGGGCGAGAGGGACTCAGTGCTGAGAAAATACACTTTATTGGAGTCCTGGGAGGGCTGGCGGCTGGGGCCTGGTGTCCTGTCCCCTCCAGTGATGGCACCACCTGGGGCTGAGGCCTGGGCCGTGGCAACCCACAGAACCATCTCTGGTTGTAGAGCAGGGAGAACAGTGTGGTACAGAGTACCAGATGTGACCTCACCCCTAGGTGCATGACGGCACAGCAGCCTCGAGTGGGAACAAACACGGGTGGGAGGACTCAAGTTCTCTTGATGAACCTGAAACCCTGGGGCCCTGAGCACCCGCGGGGGGCCACGCTCAGGGATGACTTTAATCCATAGTACCCCCTCCCACGCAAGCCGTGAGGCAGGCACCCCTGCCCAGGGGCCACAGCTCTGCAACAGCAGGGTTGTGGTGACATCTAAAAAAAGGCTGCCTCTGTTACTACCAGCAACTAGAATGTTCCAAAATGCTGGCCATCAGGGGTCGTCCTCTACCTCCTCTGCCACTTCATCTACCTCCTTCTGATCCTCCATGCTGTTGTGGATCTGCTCCGGCACGATGCGCACCAGGGGGAGGCCCAGGCCCTGGTGCACGGCGTCCACCGTCTGCTGGTCCACATAGTAGGACATGTTGGCTGCACGCAGTGTCTTCCTCATCTCCTCCAAGTACTTGTAGGCCTAGGACAGAGGAGCAGTGACCACTCACGGGGCAGACATGGTGAACTTCCCAGGACGTCAGCCACAGAGTGGCAGCCCTGGGCCGACACGTGGCCCAGCAGGGGAGGCTGTGGCTCATGAAGCTGGCATTGCACGTTGGGCCATCGGGGTCAGAGCCAGCCTTTCTGCTCCGACTTGCTCCCAGCTTCTGCCCGGCCATGGATGTTGTGCCCATCTGGGGGAGTTAAACGGCAGATTGAAGATCTGTGCCCTTTCTCCCCTGCACAACTGCCTTTCAAATAAAAACACCTTTGTAAAAGTGTGTCCATGAGGAATCCTCACTGGATTTTCAGGCTGGTGACCGTAACCAACAGATGCACTGTGAGGGTAGGGGTTGCCCACAGGATGGAGTGCGTCTCCCACAGCAGGCTGGGGCGATGCGGGAGGCCCTGGCTGGAGCTGGCTGCCCGTGCTGAGTTCCTTGGTCTCTGGCCGAGTGTGGCTTCCTGCCCATGACCAGGGCAGAGGCCTCTGACACATTCTCCACGTGACAGCGGGTCAGTGGGGAGAAGCTGTGACGATGACCTTGGTGTCGGTGCCTGAAGTACGAGCACCCGTGGGGCCCTATCATTTCTCCAGGGGTTTCTCTGCGTGGGGGGACTCGGCGGGGTGCACAGAGGACATGGATGGGGAGGGCTCCATGGTGGCCTGGGAATCCCCCGAGAGGACAGCTTGGCCAGTGTGCTGTGCGTGCCCACTCCAGTTCCTGCTAACCAGCCCGGGGAAGCAGCTAATAACCGTCCACACACCTGGGCCCGTCACCACGTGGGAGATGAGTGGGCTGGATGAGTTCCAGCCTCCTGCCAGCAGCCTGGCTCAGAGCTGGCTGGCACGGCAGCCACTGGTACAGCGAGTCAGGGGACAGAGGACACCTTTCCGTCCTCTTTCTGTTGCTCTGCCTTTCAAATATATATTTTAAAGATTTATTTATTTAATCAGAAAATCAGAACTACAGAGGGAAGGAGAGATAGAGAAGCATCCTCCTTCTGCTGGCTCACTCCCCAAGTGGCTGTAACAGCCATAGCTGAGCAGACCTGAAACGTGAAGCCAGGAGCTTTTTGCGGGTCTCCCATGTGGGTACAGGGTCCCAAGCACTTGGGCCATCTTTGGTGCTTTCCCAGGCCACAAGCAGGGAGCTGGGTCATAAGTGGGGCAGTCCCGGGACATTACACATGGCTGGCACCATAGGAGTAGAGGATTAGCTTGATGTGGCCCTGCACCGGACCCTTCGAACACGCTTACAAAATGTTAAGTCAAGGCCACAGGAAAAGACTGCTACATATATACACCAGGATGGTGTCAGTAGTGGTGAGGGACAAGCAAGGGGGCTGGCTCTGGGCCCTGCAAGTCTCGTCCGTGTGTAGCCCCCTCCCCAGCACGCAGGGGGTCTCACCGTCTGATGGTCCTCCACCCGCAGGAAGTGCTCCACCAGGAAGCCGTAGACGTCCCCAACACGGATGGTGCTGTCCAGGTCTGGCTCCTGCAGGAGCAGCTCGCATTGCCTGATGGCCTCCTTGGGGTCTTCCGTGTATGTCCTGCAAAGGACAGAGAGGCCTGAGCCCACCTGGCTCCGGCTCCCCGGAGCAGGCGCGTGCCGCAGGAGGGGTACAGGGCACAAGCAATCCCCAGGTACTGAGCTGCCTGTTCACGAAGCCACTCACAATGCCAGGTCCTGTGCTTGGACACCGTGACTGGAGGACCAGCCATGAGCTAGGCTGGGCTCTGCGGACACAAGAGGCTCCAGGGAAGAACCCGGCACAGGCTGTACTCAGCCCAGCGTGTGTGACCATATGTATGGTTCAGGGCATGGCAGGTGAGCTGGGTAAGGCCAGGGCCTGAGTATGCTCTTGAGCCTGGAAGTCGCAGCCTGGGCAATCGAGCTGGGGGATTGCCACTTCAAGGAGTTGGGTCTACCTGGCCAGGCACATTGACGCGGCCCGTTGAGGCAGGTGCCCAGCCTGCCCTCTGACTGCTGGCCCTTGCAGGGCTGGCTGCCTGCCCCTCACATCTCCTTTCCTGCGTGCAAGCCTCGTCCTGTTCCTGATGACCACTTCCTGTGCGTTCTCTTTCCTTCCCACCTCCCCAACCCAGGCTCAGCTGCCACAGGCCAGCCTCGGGCATCCCGGGACAGGGCGGGCAAGTCCAGCCTGCAGGTCGCAGAAGACCCACAAAGCCTGGCCCTGCTGAAACAACAACAGGTGGGACTTGGAATTCCACACATATGTAGCAGGCTCATTCCTAAGACAGGAATTTTGTGTGGGCTGTGAATTGATGACATTATAATATCCCAACGGCCCTTGGCCCCTGCTACAGACCCAGCACCTCTGGGTGGACACTGCCTTTTCAAGGAATCCACTGGGCATAAAACTGTCTAAAAAACATTTTGGGGAGCAGGATTTTGGCACAGTGCATTACGTTTTTTCTTAAAACACTAGCATCTCGTGTGGGCACGGACCCCAGTCCTAGCTGCTCGTAACCTATGCCCTGCTGGAGGCCTGACAGCAGCAAGCCGCCCTGGCGCTCGGCCGCTAGGACACGGCACTCTGGCTCCACCCTGGCTGAGCCCCAACTGTAGCGTTGTTTGCGTAGTGGCCAGCAGGGACAAGAAGAAGCTTTGACACTCTGCTTTTCAAATAAAGAAATATTTAAAGCCAAACTTGGGACTCTTCTGGAAACTTTTCAGAAGAGAAAAACCCTTGTGAGTTGGGCCATAACCTGAGCCACGTTACGGCTCTTTGAAAAGCCGGGAGGCAGCCTGGCAGGGGGACTCCTGGAGCCCGGCAGGAGAGGCCCTGCTGGGTCACCTGTGCCTCTGCCAGGCGACCCTGCTCGGCCTCTCCTTAGACACTGCCCAGGCAAGCTGGCCTTGCCCTCTCTGCCTCCATGAGACTGCACCAAGTTCCAAGGGGACTGCCGGGAGGGGCACAGGGGCATCTGAAACGGGTGACAGCCCCTGGTTTCCCATCCTGTTAAGCTCCTCTTAAGAACAGCTGCTGCGGATGAGCGCCTGTCTTGGTCACACGTGGCCAGACCACACTTCCCCAGTGATGGGGAGCTGGAGAGCCCACTGGGAGCGAGACGCGCCTGGAGGCCCCGGGCTGCCCACGGCCCCTGTGTCCGCCCCACCGGGCGGGACGCACCTGCGGGCCTGGATGAACCTCTTCACCAGGGTCAGCTTGCTCTGCAGCTGGGCCAGCTTGGTCTCTTGGTCCAGGGGGCTCTTGGCTCTGGCCTTGGACAGGCACTTGTAGGCCTCAGTCAGAGCCCCGTGGGCTTTGTCGTAGTTCTGGTACTCGTCGATCTCCACCTGTGCCCACGACAGTGGTCAGGCTGGCCGCGTGCCCCACCCCCGCCACCCTGCGGAGAGCCACGCGGGGCTGCACCTGGGCGCAGGCGTCGTAGAAGCCGGCCAGGAGGTCCAGGGCCCTTCCCTTGGTGTAGAAGCTGATGATGTTCTTCATGATCTCCGGCTCCTTGCGCCAGTCCAGGGACTGCAGGTAGTTGGCGGCCATGACGTAGATCTCCTTCTGTCTCGAGACTCCCGCGAAGAACACGATCCTGTCCGTGTCGCCTGACTTGAGCAGCGCTCTCATGGCCTAGGCAGAGGCAGCGGGGCCCATGCTCAGGCTAAGCCCAGGAATGAGTGCCAGGCCCCGGGGGGGTAGCCTGGCAGGGACCACAGCCTGGGGCCGCCTACCTTCAGCTTGTTGCCAGCCTGTGTGTATTTCTTGGTGGCCAGGTGGTAGCTGCCCTGGCGCATGCAGCAGTTGGCCACCTGCTCCAGCAGTTCCCGCCGAGCCTCCTCAGACAGGTCCTTGGAGTCCTTGGGCACAGTCATCTTCTCGGCCATCTCCTCAGTGATGGTCATATTCTGGTCCAGACACAACTGCAGGGCCTCATGGTACTGCAAATAGCCACAGAGAGACCAAGGGGGCTGATGCCGCTCATCAGAGGCACCCGAGGGCCCCTGCCCGTCCCAGAAACCAGACCCTGTGTCCCCAGCCTCATTTGGATGTGAAAAGGACAAGGACACCTCCCACCCACCGACTGGGAAGCTGCAAGCCCTAGGCAGCACACCCCCTCTGCTGCTGTCCGCCTGTGGCAAGGAGACCTGCAGCCAACGGGCCTCTGTATCTGAGGCAGAAGGAACTAGGAAATCAGTTCAATTGTCTCTGAAATATCCTGAGGGCTTCCTTCGGAATTTGAAGAAAATTTTATATTCTTAAAAACGGCTTAGAAGACAAAATTCTGCTTTGGAGACATGAGTATGAGACTCTGGCAATGGGGAATTTGCAGGAAAGGCAGGTTGAGGCCTGGCGGTGGGTGCCACGCTGGCCTGAGCCTGGGCTGGTCCACGTGTACCCAGGGCTCATAGCTTCAGTCCACATGCATAGTGGTGGCTCTGGGCTGATCTCGACTGCTTTCCCAGGCACCCAGGGCCCAGCAAGATAGCATACTGGTTAAAGTCCTCGCCTTGAACATGCCGGGATCCCATCTGGTCACCGGTTCTAATCCCGGCTGCTCCACTTCCCATCCAGCTCCCTGCCTGTGTCCTGGGAAAGCAGTCAAGGACGGCCCAAAGCCTTGGACCCTGCACTCACGTGGGAGACCTGGAAAAAGCTCTTGACTCCTGGTTTTGGACTGGCTCAGCTCTGGTCAGCCATTTGGGGAGTGAACCAGTGGATGGAAGCTCTTTTTATTTTTCCCTGTTCATCTACCTTTAAGATGGGACACAGTGGGTTTAGCTGCTGCCTGGCACAGCCGCACTGCTCTCAGAGTACCTGGGCTCAAGTCCCGCCTCAGCAGGCGGCTGGCTGAAGGCTTGTGTCCTGCCCGCGAGGGGGATCCAGCTGCAGACCCTCACTCCTGGCCCAGCCCCAGCCGAGCCCCGGCTACTGTCCACTTGTGAGGAGTGAGCCAGGCAATGGAAGATATCTCTCTTTCTCTTTTTGTCTCTGCCTTTCAAATAAATAAATCTTTTGGGAACACACTGAACAAGGTGTGCACGCACCGATCGACTGACCCCTGTCAAACCACAGAGGCAGCAAGTGGGGGCAGATGCGGGGCATCAGAGGCCACGCACACTGTGGGGGCGGTGTAGGGCTGCAGCCACTGGGCACACAGCCCACAGCTTTGCCGAGTGGAACATGCCGAGCTATCGTGGCCACAATTTCTCTTCTGGGCCAGCACCAGGTGAGTGAAGGGCATGGTCCTGAGGAGATGAGCCCCCACCATGGCAACACACTCCAAGGGACCAAACACCCCACGGTGACGAGTGAACAAATGAGCTGGGTCTGTCGGCAGGAGACCCACCCCAGCTGGGTGACATCAGCCAGTCTCAACAGGGAAAGGCATCGTGCCGTCCCAAGAGTAGGGCCGGAAGCAGGATGGGTGCCAGGGCTGGGGAGATGGGCGCTGCCCACTGGGGGAGAGTCTCCCTTCGGCTTCAGAGATGGGAAATACCTAGCACCGCTGGACCACAGCGCGACAAAGTGACCGAGACAGCTTCATCACACGCACATGTGCACACACACAAAGGAAAGGTCGGTGCCATGCTGTGGGTGCAGCCTGAAGCCGCACCTGAGCCCTGGCCCCCACCCCCACGCCAGCACAATCAGTGGGGGCCAGGCCCACACTGGCACTTGAGCGCCCTGCCAGCCCAGCACCTTTTTGGCCGCCAGCAGCAGCTCTGCTGCCTTCTCGTACTGACTGTGTTCCATGAAGAAGTCTGAGCAGCGGGCCAGGAGGGCAGGGTCCGACTTCTCATCTAGGTCCTCGGCTATGAGCTGCAGGGCTGCGAACTGCTGGGTGGCGAAGGCCAGCTCCAGGGCCTTGGAGAAGTGGCCTGCCTGCGGGCAGCAGGGGTTACAGAGGAAGTGCCCAGCCTGTGGGCGCCAGGAGGTGCAGAGCAGCCAGCTGGGCCGAGGCCCCGACAGCCCCCTTTACCTTGTGGTACAGCATGACTGCCCTGTCCATTTGCTCGCCCTTCTCCTCATAGTACCGGGCTGCTTCAATCATGTCCTCCGGGGAACTGAGCAAGGCCAAGTTCATAAGCTGGTCATCCAGGCCATTCTCCTGCAGGGGGAGGCAGGGCTCTGAACTACTCCTGCCTAGCCCTTCCACTTCTCTGGGGTTTGATGGGTGTCAGCAAACTATGCCATAGTGGCTTAACAAGCATCATGATATGTCCCCAGGGTTCCAAGATGCGTCCTGGGGTCCAGTGAGGACACATCCAGGAGCCCTGAGCTGTGGGGAGTGCTGGCCAATGGCACAGAGGAGGGTGTATGGGTGAGGCAGCCTGTGGGCGACCCAGGCCCTGGGGAGGCTGCTGTATGAGCGAGGCAATTTACGGGCAGCTCGGGGCCCCAAGATGCCCCCTGGGGTCCACTGAGACCACACCAGGAGCCACAGGCACATGGGAGGGTCCGCGGGTGAGGGCGGTGTGCGGCCCAGGGCCTCACCTTGCACAGGCGGATGGCGTTGTTGAAGGCCTGGGCCCTCGTGTAGAAGTGCACTGCCTGCCGCACCTCCTCCTGGCTCTCGTACTGGCGGGCCAGGTGATAGGACGCAGCCCAGTTCCCAGTCTCGTTGGCGATCTCCGCGGCCTAGAAGACCCGAGGAGCCTGAGGCCGACGGGCACCCGGGCTGGCCTCGCCTGCAGCGTGCCCCCGGCGGAGCACTCACCTTCTGGATGTGGCCCTGGAAGCAGTGGATGCGCACCAGGGAGAAGGAGTCCTGCGCCAGCTCGTAGTAGTGCAGCGCCGCGTCCATCTCTGCCTGGCTCTCCAGGTACTGGGCCCACCACCGCCACAGAGTCCTGCGGGCAGCCTGGCGGCTCAGGGCCCTGCTCAGCCCCGAGCCCTCCCGCCCCTGCCGAGGGCCAGACGCGACAGCCCCTTCCAGCTGGAGGGTGGGGGCTCCCACCTGTCCTTCATCTTATTGACATAGAGCTCCAGGGCCTGCAAGTCTTCGGAGAGCATCCGGGGCACCTCAAACCGGTGGGTGTCTGACTTCTCGTAGCTACAGGGAAGAGACAGACAGAATCTGGGGCTGGGATCACCATGCAGGCCAACCAGGGTCTGAGCAGCGGCCAGAGGGCGTAGGGGTCCCTGCCAGCAGCTGAGAGGACAGTGGGGGAACTGGCCTGGGATCCAAGCACAGCTACTACTCTTGAAGCCCTCAACCAGAGCACATCGGACCTCACGGAGCCCCCGAACCCACTCTGCTATGGGAGCCTTTGCAAGTAACGGCCACAGTCAGAAGCAGGAGCCAAGGCCACCTCATGCAGCACAGATGGAGGGGCTGCAGGCTGCCGGGGACCCACCTGGGTGGGGCATGATCTGAGGGCCCCATACTCACTAACTGAGGGCCAGACTGCGGTCAGCACTGGCCTCCAGGTGCTTGGCATAGTTGTAGCAGGTGGTGCGCAGGTGGACACGGTCGTGGCGCTCAGCAACCTCTATGGCCTTTTGCCACTGGCCGGAGGCCTGGTAGAACTTGTTGAGGAGGTCGTAGCGCCTGCACTTCTGGTAGAGCTCTTCAGCGTCGTCCTGGTGTGGGAGGGGAACTCAGCACTGCCACAGCTGTTCACACCCACACTGCCAACAGGCTGTCCAGCAGCAAAGCCGACGGTGAGCACACAGCGCGTCACGGGTACCACCCGCACGACAGCACACGCCCGGAGAGGGCACTGCGGGGTGGGCACCGTGTCACACGACCACCCCTGGGAGGTCCTGGGCTCTCCAGCAAATGACAAGGCCCTCCCAATGCTCCTGCCATGACTTGGCCCTGTCCTCAGGCCCGCACCCAGGTGGCAGTAACGAGGAAGCAACTTCAGTGGAGGGCTACAAATCGGGTCTTCTCAGTGCCCCACGTGCCCCTGGTCTCCCTCTGCAGCCACACGGCCCTGAGAACCCCGCCTCGGCCCTCTCTCCCAGGACCGACACCCCAGCTGGCCCAGGGGCAGGAGCCAGCACCTTCCTTGTCTACCTCTCGTTCCGGCCAGAGCGCTCACCAACATCCCTAGCTGTATGGCCAGCATGGCCACTCGGGCCTCCAGCTCTGGCTCCTGCTCGGCTTCCCGGAGTGCGCGGGCCCCACGGGCATGGCCCATGTTCCCCAGGCACACTTTGGCCACATCTAGCCGCTGTGTCTTCACGCACATGCGCGCCATGTTCTCCCAGACGGCCTCACTGCAGGGAGAGAGAGAGTTGGTCAGCCTTGTGTCCACCCTGGGCCGCAGCGATGCCTGTTCCTCAGTCTGTCTGCCTGGCCACTGGGAAGGGGCAGGTAGGAAGGAGGGGCAGCCAGAGTACTGCACTGCTGCCACACGGCACGGTGACATTCCAGGCTTATTGCTCCCAGCGCCCAGGAAGAAAAGCTGCCAGAGCTGAGCTGGGCTGCAGCTGGAGCTTGGGGACTGCCAGGCTGGCCGCATCCCACGGCTTAGCCTACGGGCCATGGGTCACATCATAGCCAGGACCTTGGGCACCAGCTATCAGACCCTGGTGCTGCTTCCTGTTGGGTTCAGGTCCAGCTGCCCTTGGCAATGGCCCCTAACATCGGGCCCACGCAGGACGAGCAGCAGCTGTGGCTGGTGTCAGTTACCCTGTGGGATCCAAACCCCTAGCCAGCCCTGTGAGAAGCTGAAGCCTCACCCCGCACGGAGGGGCCAAGAGGGGTCCCCGGGATCCAGCCAGCTGGGCCAGCTGAGGGTTAGGACCAGATGTCCCTGCCACACCCCCCCCTTTGCCCAGAGCAGTCTCCCACACTGAAGCTGACACAGGGGCTCCCTCCCGGGAGGCTGTAGGCACCACCACACCCAGGTCCCCCTGCAGCGTCCACGGGAGGCACCGTGCACACCTCAGACCCCTGCGACGGCACAGGGCAGAGCCCAGTGTGCTGGCTTCCTTATCCCTCACACGTGTGCTTGGGAGTGCACATACATGCACCACACATGGGCGTAGGCACCAGAGAGAAACCATGAGGCCTGGGGGATGTGCAGGTGGGGGTGTCTGGGGGAGGACGCCAAGACTTCCAGATGCAGCAGCAGCCCCCCAGGGGGCAGAGCAGCCCTTCCAGGCAGCCAGAGGCACAGCAGGGGGGAGGCTGAGCTAGGAGACAAGCCGGGCCTGCGCTCTGGCGAGTCTGTGGATGGCAGGGCCTGGGGATGTGGCGCTTCGGGGAGGGTGGGAGGAGGCCACAGCCGGACTTGTGGTGGATCTGTCTGCACAAAGCGTGTGCTGGAATGCAGCCAGCAAGCTGCAAGCCCCTAACCACAAGGGGGCGCGAGAGCTGCGCTGACCCAGGCTCTGCAGGAGAGGCCTCCACCAACTGCGGCTGTCCTGGCCCTGTCTCCAGGGCCTGAGAAGCACCTCAGCTCCAGTGTGGAGTTCTGGGGCTTGTGCATCCGACACACATTCCAGGAAGCCGGCAGCCTCTCAGCCCTGTGAGGGATCTGAAGGCTTCCTGTCTCCAAGCCGGCCTCACATCTGCACTTCATCAACCCCGAGGTGCCTGGGCCGAGGAGCTGCTCTGCCAAGCCCTGCCCCAGGACCAGCAGGCTCGTGGTCAGACCACGGAGGGCAATAGCAGGAGGGGTCCTTACAGAGTGAGCCCTAGCCTGGCTTCTTGGCCCCTGGTGAGGCTCATGGTGGCCACACAGACGGAGCAGGTCACGGGTCCTCCGAGGTTGGTGTTGAACCCCGGGGAGGGGGTGGGTCCCCGCGCTCACACAAATGCTGCTCTCAGGCCAGCTCCCTGTCCCACCCAGCTGCCCACAGCAGCGAGACTGCGGCTGGGACACAAGGATGGCTGAGACGTAGGGACCTGCAGCCTGGCAGGAGCCTCCAGGAGTGCTGAGGGGAGAGAGACCGAGGCTGGTGCTGAACCAGGACTGCCAGCAGCCCTGTCTTTAGGGGGCCTCCCCTGCGAATCAGCACAGCCAGGAATGACCACCTCTGAGCAAAGCCTGTGCTGTAGGATCTGGAACTGCCAGGCATGAATGGTACAATTAAAACAGGAAACTGATTCTGGCCCCTGGGAACCTCTGGGGAAACTTCCTGCTCCAGGCAGCCCACTGTACCCTGTGCTGGGAGCTGCTGCCACTCCCCATGCCCTGCCCAGAGAAGGGGTCATGGCAGGCCCGGCCCTCTGGACTGGCAGGTGGGCATGTGTGCAGCCCCAGCACGGAAGATTCAGCGGTGGAGAGGCTAGGGTGGGAGGCAGAGCTCAGGCACAGCCGCTGTTTATGCAACGCAAACCCCGGAATGGGGTCAGTCTCAGGGCATCAACAGATCCATGACTGGCTGCAGGCTACCTGGAGTTCCTGTCCCTCAGGGCCCACAGTGTGACACGAAGAGCCATCCGTGAGGCGTGACTCAGAGCACCACGCCCAGGAGTCGGGGTGGGACACGGCCAGCAGGTTCCCCTGCCCATACCATGGGTCTGGGCACACACACAGGAGCATTTCCCTGCTGTACTGCTCTCCCAGGTCCGAAGGGCACAGCAGATGCCCTCCCAAGCTCCCCAGGCTTAACACTGCCCCGAGGCATCTCTGCACTGGCTGGAAACCCTCCTTGCAGCAGCCCTGGGACCCTTGGCCCTCTGTGTCCAGAGTCCTGCTTGTCGCCACCTCAAGGACACCTCTGTCTAAGGCACTTCTCCAAGTGTAGCTCTGCCACCCACCCCCTCTGCCCCGTGGCTGTCACAGTGAAAGCTCCTGCTGCAGGGGTGGTGGGGGCTTCCCCGCGGAGGACACCTGGTCCCGGCACACGCTCAGGGGCGGCAGGTGAGCATGCTTCCCAGGCCTGGCCTTTGGGACAGGAAGGCAGGGAGGGGCAGCGGGGAGGCAGGCAGAGAGGCCTTCCCATCAGGAAACATTTCCTGTCGCGTCTGCCGCCCAGCCTGCTTGCTGGCCGCGCAGCTGCCTACGCCCTCCAGCTCACCAAAAACAGCCTCAAAAACAACCATTTCCTCTTGCCGAGAGACCGGGGAGACGCGAGCTCCTGCACATGCACACGCGCTTCCCTGTGGCTGCGCTCTGCTTTCCAGGACCTGCCGTTCTTGAGAGTGGTGGGTGGCTCTGGGACCGGGCCCAGGCAGCAGAGAGGCAGCACCCCTCGCCCTGCAGCCCTCCGACGACCCCCACGGTCACTGCAGGAGAGAAGAGGCGCATCCCTGAGCCTTGGCCTCCCGGGAAGACGGCACAACCCCAGCTCTGGATTCTTGCGGGTGCCCGCGTCCCCGCCCCGGGATGGGCTTTGCGGCCACAGGCCTGACCCTGCTCCAAGTGCAGGAGGGAGGCTAAGGCAGAGCTGAGAGGCGGGCTCCCTGGACGCAGCCCATGGGCCATCTGTCTGCCTGGCAGGGGCCCACACGTGTCACCTCCAAGAATGAGCGGTGATGTCCTCTAGCCGCCCCTAGCAGCGTCTCTGTCCCGCGTGGCCGGACTTGGGGCTTTCTCTGCGCTAACGGACATCTCCGGGCGGCCATGGCCATCCACAAACTCGTCGCCACTGCCGTGCTGGTGGCCCTCGTCTCCCTCATCCTCAACAACGCGGCAGCCTTCACCCCCAACTGGGTGTACCAGACGCTGGAGGACGGACGCAAGCGTAGCGTGGGGCTGTGGAAGTCCTGCTGGCTGGTGGACAGGGGCCGCGGAGGGCCGAGCCCTGGGGCCAGAGCCGGGCAGGTGGACACACGGGACTGTGAGGCCCTAGGCTGGGGCTCCGAGTCAGCAGGCTTCCAGGAGGCTCGTGGCACCGTCAAACGTAAGTTGATTTGGAATTTCTGTTGCCTTCTGAGGGGGTGGGGTGTCAGCAGACAGGAGACTGCTGGGGCCGGCAGGCGAGGGCAGTGGGTGCAGACCTGGACTCTGTACACGTCTCTGCTGGAGCGGGGAGCACTGGGGCCCCACGGCCACGGGGCTGCGTGGCAGCCTGGACTATCTGCACCTTCAAGGAATTAGTCATGTGGGCGGTTAAGCTGAAGGTTGGGTAGGGTAACCACAGCCAGACAGATTCTTTCCCTTGCTTGAGAATAAACACTGAGGCCTGAAGACACGTGCGTGAGTCCCGCTTCTGCTGCACAGGGCTCAGGGTCCTCAGGGCTCCCAGAGGGGCCTGGGCAAGGACAGGGGGCCACTGGCCTGCACGGTGGGACCCTGACTTCAGCAGCTCCAGTGCAGGTCTGCATCTGCCAAAGCCAAGTGCCTGGATGGCCCTCAGTCCACTGCCAAGTGCCCCAGGCTCTCCAGGGCAGTGCTGCTCAGGCTCAGGCGCTGGGTCTACACAAGGCTTCCAGAGTGTTCCTGAAATCCTCGAGGAACACTGAGTGCCACCATCAGCTATCCTGTGAACTGCCGTGGGCAGGGGACATTACCCTCATTTCATAGACGAAGAGACTGAGGCTCTGCCAAGGTCCCCAACCAGATCGAGGTGCCCATGTCACACCACACAGCCCAGGCAGGCCAGGCTTCCTCTGCCCTCGGTGGGCGGAGAGCAACAGCTCCTTTCACACAGACCAAAGCCTGTCAATGAGCCCACAATTTTCCACTCACACTTAGGGGTCTGGGGAAACCGGAGCGACATGCTGCACCTGCTTGTGGGATTGCTGTGGGACCAGCGCCAACCGCACTGCCCTACCTCAGGAGGTGTGGCAAGCTGCCACCGGACCCAGGACCCCTAAAGCCAGCTAGGTATCTCTGATAACTGGAGTGCCTTGTCGTGTCTCTCACATTAGACCAGCCATGGACAGGCGGTGCAGCCCACCGACAAGGCTGGTGAGCTGGGGCCAGTAGGACACTGGGGCCCCGTCACTGTGGCCCGGTGCTGCGCCGTCTCGGCTGTCTGCACCTGCGGCTCCCTGTCCCCACACCGTCTGGGAAGCGCACAGGTAACTTCCCCTGCCTGAAGACGGCACTGTCCCCCGGGATCTGGGCAGCAAACATCTGTTCAGGAAATGGCTCCTGATGAGACACTGAGACCCAGCTGCAGAGAGGCACTGGAGGCCAATGGGCAGGCTGGATTGCAGACAGGACTGCTGGTGGGCAAAGCCCCATAGGTCAGCCTCGCCCGAGGGGGGCTGCACATGGCAAGCCCGGGACCTGGGGCCAGGCTCTCCCCCACAAAGCTGTCTGAACCAGCCACACACATGTATTCTCCTCCAGGCAGGCCTGCGGGCTTGCCATCCC